TATATTATATATGTATAGACATATACCATATCTACCTTTCATGGACACTTTTTATGTCTTTGAAGCTGTGACTTACATATGTGTGTATTGCTGAGAAGGTTGTTTGGAACCATCAGTATTTAGGGCATGCTTTTCAAATTAGGTGCCCTACAAGGAAAGTACCATCTGGTATTGCAGGCCCCTTCTGACCCTGAGATTCTGTGACCTTTTGATTTCATTTAGAGATTTTGTGGTGTTTGTGGGGCATAAGCCCCACAAAATCTGGGAGCCTTGATGTATAAATGCCTTTATTAAGTCCTATCAGACAATTTGTTGTTGAAAGTGATTTTCTCATTTACTTGCAATTTTACAAGGTAAACTTTCAGAAATATAGTCAATCACTGAAAAGTGGGCAGCAAAAATGGCAGAGTGAGGACCTTTGAAAATTCTATCATAGCAATGCAGAAACTGGCAAGATAATCAGAATCATGTTTTTCAAAACAGCTACATTATGGTAAGTATAGTAAGCCTGTCCTGTGCCCATCCCTTGCATTCAACTCTCTAGTAGCCTTGAAAATCCGCAGTCTGCAATTGCAGGGAAAGCCAACAGCTTGGCAGCCACTGGGGGCCACAGAATAGGGTTGGAGCTCCTGTAATGCCTCATTCCTAGAGAATTGTTATTATTTGACTGTCTGGTGGTTTCCTGGAAGACCCCAACTGCAAGACTGAATTTACTTGCCCTGATTTGGATCTGTAGAAAAGTCTTTCCTAGAGATTTTTTTTTAAAAAACTTTGGAGGTAATTGATTAACTTTGCAGCTGCCAGGGGCAGTAGATAACCCAAACTTAAAAAGAAAAGCTGGGGAATAAGATGTCCATAGAGGGTTTGAAAAGTTTGGGCACATCTTTTGGGATCCAGAAGCCCACCTACATGATCAGGGCTGTGTGTATCCCAGGGCTGTGCATATGCTCAGGCACGACCTAAGAAGATTCAAAGCTATTGTTCTGCTCTTGTGCTTTGCGTCAGCACAAAGGGAAGACTAAGCATTGTCAACTGCCTGACCGAGTGTTGAAGGCATGCTCCAACATGTGCACAGAGTCCTTGGTCAAGACTGGTTCTAGGAGTTTAAGGAAATCTTTGTTCAATTATTAGCTGACCACTAAGCTAACCCAGCAGAGACTTCAGTGCAATAATTATTGTTAAGTGGAACAGGCCGAAGTCTGTTGTCCATAAGACCTCATAGATGCTAATTCTTGGTCTATCAAGCTGCAGTGTTTATAGTTCTGCCTGTATGGTACCTTTCTCTTTCAATAGGATGAAAGTGCAGGGAGCTCATATGTGACTGATGTCTGGTTTGTTAATTTTTAAAGGCAAAACAAAAGTAAGTAGTTTACGAAAATATTTTGTAAAAAAGGATTTCTGTTAGAAGTGATTCTGTTGGAAATCAATTTCACTTCTGTACCCCAACCATGTCCCAGATTACTTGTTAATCTCTTGAGTTCTCCATGTGGAAGACCTATTCTTGTTACCCAATTTAAGGGGTTCATCCTTGGAAGTACCCCAAGTACCAGTGCAGACTGCCTCCTTAAAAAGGGCTTGAAAAGGCCCTTAAGGCCTCCCCGGTGGCACAGCGGTTGAGCACTGGGTTGCGAAGTAGCCCGCGGCCTCTGCAGCGCCGGTTCGATACCCAGCTGCTCCCCGCCCACCGGAGGAGGGTCCCGCATGGCGCAGGAGACCTCTCCTGCCGCCCGCTGATCCCCTCAGCAGTGTACTTCGGTCCTTCTGCCTGCTCTGCTCCCCGCTCTGGCTCTGGTGAATTCTCTCACCCTCCCGCGCTTCTGACTGTACCCAGTGCATGTATAAACAAAACAAACAAACAAATAAATAAATAAAAACATGCCTCTATTTAAAAAAAAAAAAAGAAAAAGAAAAGGCCCTTAAGGGAGGGCAAAAGTGAGACAAAAAAGAGCCTCCCCTGGTGGCGCAGGCAGTTGAGCGCAGCACAGCGCTGTGAAGCTGTCTGCAGCCTCTGCAGCACTGGTTCGATCCCGGCCAGCCGGCGAGGCTGCCACATGGTGCAGCAGACCTCTCCTGTCTCACCCGCTTCTCCCCTCAGCAGTGTATTTCAGTCAGTAGTCAGTCTGCCTGTTCTGCTCCCCGCTCTGTCTCTGGTGAATCCTCTCACCCTCCCATGCCTCTGGCTGTACCCCATTTCTTGTACGAATAAATAAATAAATCTTTAAAAAAAAAAGTGAGACAAAGGAGTCTTTGATGATTGAATAGTGGAGGTGCTGGGTGGTGCCGGTCATCCACTCGTGCTTGAAGGTAGTTCATGCTTCCTCAGAAAGTGGAGGCTCAACTCTCTTCCCCTAGGGGGAGATTTTAGTAAGCTAGAGAATTGTCCACCTAATGAGGTTGGCATGAATTTCAGTTCACAAGGGAATAAACTGCACATGTTCCAGGTTCTTTATGGCCCTGTGGGCTGTTCAAACCGGATAGGGGTGATTGGAACCTGGTTATCAAAATAAGATAGTTTTTAGTTATACATTGCTGCCTTTGAGTAAATCAAATGGAGACAGCTTAGCCAGAGGTTATTGTCCTTGAGTAAATCACATCAGACCTCTAGCAGCCCTGATCTAGGGGCCAGTTTTCAAAGAGTATTGCTTTCAGTAAATCAAGTATTCTTATCCTGCTGAGAGTTAGTAATTAGTAGTATTAACTCTTTGCTTCTCAGTGTGTTGAAACCGCAGAACTTTCTTAACCATTTGTTTCCCGGTTCTCTGAGGTCCTGGTTTCACAACAGTCTTAACTCTCCAGCCTCCCCCACTTCCCCCCCCCCCGTGCCACGTGTGTGAGCACCCCATGTTATTGCTCCTTCTGCTAATCTCGTCTGTTCTGGCTTTAATTTTTTCATCCATGTATAGCTTGGGACCGGTTATGACTTGATGCACTGCATTCTGGAAGTCTGTCTTCTAAGAGGAGAATCAGGAAGAATAGAGGCAGTAATGACCTTCTTGCTATCCTGAGAGGGGCTAAAGAACAACAGAAAATTATTTGGCTACCTTTTTGGTCAGACTCATCCTAAATGAAGCAGCGTGCTTCTCACAGGCTTTAAGGGGTTGTGCTAATTTGACTGGATCACTGGGCAATGACTCATGGACAGGGTTGGCAATAGAGAAATGATTTCTTTTCCGGCCAGTACTAAAAAAAGGACCCACGGCTTATACGCATACATGCTGTACATGCATCTAATATCACCCTTCCTCATCCCTACCAGGACAATGGCAGAGAGGCTACCTCTTTCTCAGACTCAAGCTATTTATTTCTGACTTTCTCTGTCTAGGTGGCACTGGATATTCGTTTTAACCTGATTTCTCCTGCTCGTGAGGGATAGCGCATAAGGTGGGAAGGTACACAGTGTGATTTGTGCCACCTCGGCCCACCACCCTCCGGGGATGGCCTGACCTGAGTGATCATTTTTAGCCTGGTATTTCCTGGCCATGGGCCAGGGGCTAAGGCCAGAGGCAGAAAACCCAAGATAGCACAGTCTCCTGGGCGGATTCAGCAGTGATGAGTTTTCACTGGGGAATGACAGACTGTCTCATTTCTAACTTCTTTAGATTTGAAATACTTCTGAGAGTGTAACCTTAATGATTAAAACATCTTGAGGAGAGAGGCTACTTAAATCCCTGAAAGACTGGACTTCTGTAATATGTTTCAAGAAAGGCAGTATCCTTGGGTAGCTATTTCTAAAATAATAACTTCAAACAAATTGTAATTTCAGTTTGTTCAAATTCTACAAATATAACTTCAACTTCCAACTAAGCATTTTGAGCAGGTGAACCTGTTTTTGTGATCAGGTATGACTCATTTATATTTAGGAACATGTATTTATAAGAAAACAGCACACTCCTATCTTAGAATACAAAGCCAAAAGAAAAAAAAAAAATATTGTCCTTACAAGTGAGTTAAACGTAGCCCTCAAAGCCATTTACACAAGAAGTTATTTTCTTAGGGTTCATAGGAACTGCTCTGGGGGAGTCCCTGTCACTACACAAAAGGGTTCCCTACTCCCACTGAGCTTCCCTTCCTATAAGGGGCTGGAAGGAGGTGTATCTTGGGTGTCTTAGCTTTGAACTTGAAATATGGTTTCTTACAAAAATAGCACCATAAACTGTGAAACATAACTGGTTACAGGTTAAAATGGGTTTTTGTGGGCTGTCTTGGAAACTTACTAACTCCAGGGTTATTTCTCTCAGAAAATTTTATAAGAGAACTTTTGAGATAGGATCCTTTCTTAACTCGGTCTTGACTCTCTTAGCAGACCCTTTCTCCACAAGTGGTACAAAAGTGAATTCTAACTCACCCCACATTATCTGGTCATGAGTTCTGAGTGTGGCCTGTGAACTTATGAAGTTTAATGACATTTTATTCTGTTACTCTATCTAAGATAACCATAGTCATTTGTGAATTCTAAGAACAAGTTATATTTCTCACCAGCCTCAAGAGCCTTCTCTGCAGTCATATGTGAATAAAATGGCAAATAAAATTACCATGAAAACATTCAGTCTCCCAGCTCAAATATTACATTTTCACAGTTATATAATCCCTCAGACTTGACACAGTCCCTTCCAAGCCACTGGCTGCTAGAAACTACACAACACTCCCTGGACACAGATAGAAGTTAGGTATGCAGGTACCTAGGAGAATCTAGATAAGTGACTATTTACAAAAAAGGCCCCAGGGGTTAAAAAGGTTTTGAAATAACTCGCCAAATAATTATTCAGGGATGATGCCAAATAGGACCATGAGAAAGCAAAGGTCAAAAGAGGTGGTCAAGAAGAAATCCCTCTACTAAAGGGTTTTGAGGCCTTGTGAGTGTCTTTGTTCCTCAAAGAAAAGAATTTGCTTCCCTTAGATTGGAGCCAATGACCTTTCACCTTCAGGACAAAGGTAATAATCACTATACCACAGACGCGAGCCCCCTATGTTATATTTCACTTACTTTCCTTTCCTTTCAGTTTTATCCAAGTATGAAAACCAGATTACTATTTTTGCTGACTACTTAGAAGATTTTCCAGATACAGATGAGTTGGTATGGATCTTGGGAAAACAACATCTCCTTAAAACAGGTAAGGTTTGGTAGCATTGGTCTGTGAGAACCGAAATGTGGTGGGTACCTGATTAAGGTCCTAGGTGTTTTCCTGCTTTGGTTGGCAGAACATTACTTTCATAACTGTTCATTCTGCTCCTAGGCAGATTTAGCTTGTAGCCAAAAGGGTTTAAATCTCACATCCCTTGCTAGCACGTGCTCTTTCCAAGGCCCTGAGAGGCCCGAGCAGTGGGTTCACATGCTCGTAGGTATTTGCACAACTTGAAAAAGTATTTCCATTCCTTTCTTTAAAGGAGAACCCCTGAATTCTATAATCCTTGGGTTTCAAAAGACATGGCCCCACTCCCTGTGTCATTATCCAGTATCTCGTCTTTGATGACTAGACTACCTACTTCTAATTCCTCTCATCCTTTTCTATCTGCCTTAAAGTCACTGCCACCCAGGGTTCCTTTAAACATCCCATGGCTGTCAGAAACATTATCAGACACTAAGAGGTCTTGTAGTTTTAGATCTTTTGCTGACTGCAGCGCTGTCTAAATTTGTTCTGATTTCATATAGAACTTTTAGCCACTATAGCTAGATGGAAAAGAGACTTGAACTTTTCTTTCTTACCCTCACATTTTTATAGATTGGGAAAGACCTTTTTACCTAAAAGTGCTAACAACCCAGCACCCAGATAAATCCTGAGCTTGGAGACAGGCAACTCTGAGATTTGTATCTGTTTGAGCAACCATCCTGTCCAGAGGTTCTAGCATGGAGGGAGGGACTGAAAGAAGCTGAACAAAAGGCAGGAGAGGAAGTTGGGCATTTTCTATCTTCTCCTGAGTTTGGCTTCATCATTTTGATGGGTAAGTCCTGATCAGTGGAGATAGCCCAGGGCTAGCAATGAAGGTCCTTTTATATTCAGATTCTTCACCTACCTTAGGTCACTCACATTTTCTTTCTGGATCTTAACTCTTTTCTCCCGTGCTTAAAATGAGGGTACTGGAGATGATCTCTACTAGTTCTGCATTCCACGACAACAGGAATCCTGGGTTACCAGTTATGTCCATATTCATGGGCATATTCATGGGCATATTCATGGTCATATCTGAATATGGGAAATGCCATTAAGTTGGGAAATGCCTTTCAAAGTGAAATAGTTATAATGTTCATACAATGTCCCCCAGCTTTTCTAGCATATAGGCAAGCTGGAAGGCACAGAGATTATTAGAGATAGGAGTGAGTAGTATGAACATTTGAGAGGAAGTTAGCAGCTAACATTTATTGCAGACTTACTGTGTTCCATCCCATCTAAACACTCTCCATGTGTTAGCTTGTTGAATACTCACAATTCTAGAAAATAGGTACTCTATTCTTCCCATTTTACAAATGAGGAATCTGGAATTCAGACTGGTCAAATAACAAGATCACACAGTTGGTAAGAAGCAGAGTCAGGGTTCAAACCCAGGCAGAGTATGATTGCAAAAGTCTTACTCTCAATCATTATCCGTCTGCTTCCTATAATGTGCTATGCACTGTGGACATGATGAAGAGGAAAAACCCAGACAGATAGGTTTCGAGGGAAGGCAGGAGAGAAAATGGAAACTACAGGCTAAAATTTAATTTCCTTTTTTTCTTTTAAAGTGTAATGGCTGTTAGTCCTATGCAAAATATAAATATGTATATGTTGTTGAGAAGGGGAAGGGAGAGAGAAGACTAAGAAAGACAGAACCACATAGAAGTATAAATGGGAACACGGAAGCCACACTTGCAGCCACAGTAGTTGATTTGTCATAAAATACAGGAAAGCAGGTTTTCAAAAGAGACGTAAAAACATTTGTGATATTACTCATCCCTTTAGATTACAAATGCCAATTGCACTAGGTGGTATTGATAAACTTCCTATATACTTAATTTGCTTAGCAGGGTCAGCTCCTTTTCAGTTAAACACAAGTGTGTGGGCACACACATCCACCCCTAGTTTTAGATGATGGACATTGGGTACTGATGAGAGATTCAACCATCTTTATTCAGGGGGCTCGATGCCTTGTTAGCGGGTTATTCAGGATCTTTGCTTTTCCCATTCCTTGCTGTTGGCCAAAACCCCAGTGTACGTGCCTGCCAGGACCATGGAGCTCAGTAAAAAGGAGATAGGAGCTACCTGGTATTGGGTGAAAAGGGTCAACTGTATGGTAAAAGGATAGAGTTGGGCTTTTAGTGGTGAACTTAATGTAGTGTAGACACATACTGATTTTCAGTCATGCATAACTAAAATTTATATAATGTTATAATGCACTGTCACCTCAATTTAAAAAAAAGCAGCAAAACATAGGTGTGGGGGCCACAATAAAAAAAAAAATGGTAATGATGTGACCCGATGCAGATGTTGGCTAATGCCAAGGTGGAAATCATTTTGCCATATTAAGTCAACATGCTGTGTACCTTAAGTTAAAACAGTTTTGCATATGAATTATATCTCAGCAAATCTGAACAAAAAAAGAGAAAGAAAAACATAAGTGGGAAGAAATGCTGAGATTTTTGGCTAAAATGAGATTGGGTTTCCACTGAATTTCCCTAACTCTCATAACAACGGCACTTACTGGTTATTTGAAAATGTTTGCTGCTGGCTCAGAAATCAAGGGCTTTTATCTTTAGATGGGATCTGGTGATTTAATTTTAATTTCCTATTTAATTACAGAAAAATCTAAGCTGTTGTCTGATATAAGTACTCGTCTATGGTTTACATACAGAAGGAAATTTTCACCAATTGGTAGGTATATCATTTGTTGTACTGTGCTTTCTTATAGATAGCTTGCCTGAGGTTATCAGTGACTTCACAGAAACCTCAGAATTATTAGCTCACTGTGGTAAACAGTTTGATTTAGGGGAATAGTTAAGTCATATTTTATCTAAAGTTTCACTGCTAAAGGTCTTCATCAGGTATGGTTTCGTGGTGCCAATGTGTAATGCCTGCATACTTTCGAGCTCCTTTTCCCCACCAAGTGTTTTGACACCAGATAGTATTGCTTGCTTTAAGAGTAAGGAAAATGTCAAATACATTTTTAATTTGGGCAATATCTATTAAATTACAATCCACGGCTTTGTGGAGCTACGTGATTATTAAAGACAATTGCGCCTTGAAGGAAAGAAAATAATTCCTTTGATTTTTTTTTTTCCCTGTGAAATGAAAGCAACTTGCCACTGGGAGATGAATTATAGTGGATTCCCTTGGAACTAATTCTATGCTGTTACAGTACCAGCTGCTGTCTGGAACAAAGGACAGTTCAATAAACTAAGTAAATAGGCTCCCTCTAGAGAAAATTTGTAAAATGTTTGCAAGTTGCATGAATTGTTTGTAGTAGGATGGCCTTGTAGGAAAAGATTACCAAACTCAAGTGGTGGAAGCTATTCTCTTAAAAAGGAAGGCTGTCTGATTGATTTTGATGTGAGATTCGACCTAGGGACTGAAGTGAAATCAATCTTTCTGATAAGTACCCAAAAAATGAAGATTTTTGTTTGTTTGTTTTGCTCTCCACAGAAAATACTAGAGCAGTAAAACAAACAAATGGACAGTCTTTAGTGCCCAGTGGTTCTAAACTGTTAACTTTCTCTGGGTGAAGAGAACTTTGTAAGGCTGGAAAACTTTTGCAATTCAACTCTGAATGTTTTGGCAATAGATGATCTCTTCTTTATGTGGGCCTCATTGCATCTTTTCCATCTGACCTATCATCCCGCCATGAGTAAGAGCCCAAGGGCTCCCTTTCTGGCTTGCAAATTGGTCAGTCCTTCTTATTTTCACGTAGTAACTCTCCTTCAGTTCTCACAACAAAAGAAAAGGTGTGGCCACCATGGCCCCCTTCTCTTAGAAGGCCGATGAGCCCCTTAACATTAGTCTTGCAGGATCATGCTTATAGCATGCTCTTACATTTCCTTGTTGGGAAAGGAGAGAAATGAAAGCAGAGTGTGTCCTCTGCCATCCAAGTTATCTGATTTCATTGGTACCTTGAAAAAGGATATTGAGCTCACCCTGGCTATATCCATGGGATTTTCATTACCTCAAGTGTTCTTAAAATGGAACCTGTTATCCTATTTCATGTATTAACTGGTTTTGTGCCTTTTAAAGATATGGTACATTTCTAACTTATTAATAGTATTTTACATTGTAATCATACTCATGACACCAAATATTTATATCATCCTCAGTAGGTTGTAGAACACATTCAAAGATGCTCTCTCATTTAATTATTAGCATACCCCCTGATAGGAGGCAGGGTATGTCCTATGATCCTCAGTCTACAAATGGGACTTGGATTAGGTAACATAGCTAGGTCTTCTAATACTTAATCTGGGACTCTTTCTTCTATTTGACATTGTCCTTGCTGTTTCGGTCTTTGTGGTATGTATTTGGAAGTGTAAGTTTTCTGGATCCCTTTGTTCATTTTGATGATTACCTTTGGTAGCATTTATTCCTTAGCTAAGGTAAGGCTGCCTTCCCAAAGAAGTGAGCTGTGTAAAGCCAAGTTTGGTCAGGCAGAGGATGACATGGCATGAACTAAGTGTTAGTAGTCATACATGGCAGTCATCCACCAAAACTGCATGCAAACCAAGACAGTCTCCAAGCAGAAGGCATCAGGTTTTTGTTCACATTTTTGTTTTGTCTTTGGCCATAGAAGGCTATCTGATTGATTTTGGGTAACTCATTTTGGGTAACACAGCATTCTGGGTAACAGCATTATTTTTGCAAGTTCCACCCTATATTCAGACCCTGTGTGATATCTGGCTATACCTCTTGCCTCTTTTTTCATTATACATGTGTCATCTTGTCTTATGTGATTCACAGATATGCTGGTGTTTCGAGAGAGGGCAATTTAAGGAACTTATATATTCAATCCATCCATGTTTCCAACAGGGGGAACGGGCCCTTCGTCAGATGCTGGCTGGGGATGTATGCTACGCTGTGGACAGATGATGCTGGCTCAAGCCCTTATCTGCAGACACTTGGGAAGGGGTGAGTTGAATTTGTTCTCTAAATTGCCTCAGAGACCTCTGCAATAACACTTAATGCTGTTGGGTTTAGCATTGATGCCGAGATTTAGGGGCACTCATTAACAAAGCTACAGGTCTTAAAGTGCTCTCTGCAACTTCAAGTGTTAGGCTGACAAGCCAACAAAGCCTCTCATGAGAAAAAAAAAAACAGCCGGCATTTCCTTGTGACTCATCAAGTCAGAGAATTATTTTCTTGGGATAGAATTGAACATTGAGGCAGGTGTGCCATTTAGAGTTTCCATCTTTGCCATTGTTCGAGTGAGTCCTTAAGCAAGTCAGATAACAAAGGGAGCAGGAAGAAGGGTGTGGTGGTTAAGTCTGTTTCTTGACCTCATTTGAAATATCTGCCTGGTGAAGGATGTAAGTGACCTAAAGGAAATGTCTAATGAGGGAGTTGGCGCTATTTTGGTTTGAGTCCACTAATGATGTCCATTAGATGATGAAGGAATCCTTAAATTAGCTTCCTTGGGAGACTGATGCATTAAGAACCTTCTGGTAATTGTTGCTGGAACTCTTGAGTCTTGCTTCCTAAAGACATGTGTGTGCTCCCTTGTGGGTATCTGTAGGTTGACCTTGGCTGGAGGCCAGTTTAGGCACTTGGGTGAAAGTCCACTTTGACATGGGAATGAGAGTGAAAGGACACCTATGGTGAGGCTGGACTGCTGAATTCATTGGCTACTGCTCCCTGAGACTTACAGTGAATGAACTGTTGCTCCCCACCCCCCTTCCACCCCGTCCCATCTCACAGATCCTACTACAGTTATCAAAGAAGATTGGGGAAGGGCCTAGGGAGTTTCAGGGATAAATGCCTTCCTTTCAGATTTTAGGATATCCTATGCCTGCTTCCCCTGGGTAGTAGTAGTAGTTTCAGTCTTGTAGATGAGGGAACTGAGCTTCAGAAATTGAGGTGACTTGCCTGGGGAGAAACAGATCTAAAGCATCAATTTAGGAAGGGAATACAGATCTTCTGACTTCTTGTCCAGTGGTACACATACTTCTTAGTGAAGATCTGTTTTACTGTTTAACATTCTCATTTGCAAAACACTTCAAGATGATTATTCTGGAAGTGAATGTTGTGGAAAGCAAACTGGAAAAAAAAAAACCCACAGTCAGCAATCTAGATTATTTTAGTATAAATGCAAGCAACAGGAAGAATTTAGAGATAGACCCTGTAGCTAAGATGAATTAGAAGGTGTCATTTTGTAAAGAAGTATGTTGGCATGTTTCCTATTCAGTTATTTTATAACTGAGGTAGAGTGTGCACTTATCACTGTCGTCAGTAAAAATTTATGATACTTAGCAGCCGACTAATCAGAATTTCCCCAGAGTTGGATGGTTTAGTAGCTTAAAAAAAAAAGTTGGATGCAGTTCACTTTCTGAAGAACTATGCTGCTATGCTGGATACGAAGTTTAAAACTTGGGTTTCAGAAATTCTAGACGCAAAGAGAACTGAAGACTCTGGAGATAATGGCCTTTGGCTTCAAGTATATTTCAGTTGTGAATCCAAGCTCTCTCCAAAACCTCAGGAGAGATATTTATGGCTTGGAAGCAAAGTTAGCCTCAGAAATCAGTCCCATTAGACAGGGTTCCAAGAGCTGAGGGAGTGGGAGGAGATTATGGAGGATTTTACAGTTGTTCTCAGTAAGCGATAAGTAGCCTCTGTGTGATTGGGGTCAGGCTTGGGGGGCTGTGCTTAAGACACAGATAAGGAATTCCTAAAAATGTAAATATTTTGGTTTTGATCATAAGGAGACTTTGAACACCTGATAGCAATAGCAAAGCTATTTGTTTTTCTAAAACTCAGTGTGGGCTTTTTGAAGGTTGTGTAAAAAGGGGAGTATGCCATTTTTTGAAAGCTTCCTTAGTTGTGAATTGTGTGTATTCAATGGTGAAACATTGTGTGTCAGAATAGCACTTCCCTCCATGAAGCTGTTGGCTGTGCTGCTGATACATAAGGACAAAAGCCACCTCTGTCTGTATGGAGATGAGACACTATGGCGTCTGGGTGATACATGGAGATCCTGCCGGATTTTGTGGTGACCTGTTCACTGAATAGCTGGCCAGAAAGGCTTTTGTCACACTCTTTTTTTGTATAATATTTATCCAGCCCCAGCCCTTGGACTAAGTCAATTCCTTGGTCAACTGCTTGTTTTGCTTTTGCTTTACACCCACTGAGGCTTTGAAAATAATCAGTGTCCAGATGTCTTTGTCATCAGAATTCAAGATACTTAGGAATGTTCTAACTTGATCCTTCCCGCCTTCTAAAAAAAAAAAAATGGGGAAATGTGGAACCAAGCTTAGCTGAGGTTTTGCCATTTTGTATATCCTCCACCTTGATATGTTAGTCCTTGTCCTGCCGCATTCCGGAGATAGTTTCAGCAGTCACAACCCTCACTCCACTTGGTGACGAAAAAGCAGACCACCCCAGCCACCAATGAGGGCAGTCCTGTCCATAAATGGGACAGCATCTCTAACCGTCCAATCAGTTTGAAACTGTAACCGCGCGCGCCCAAAGTGCCTTTGTAGTAGCCAATGAATAATTGCCAACTTCTTTCAAAGTTCCCGCCACTCGCGACCCTATAAGATGTCCCAGCTTCCTCTGTTCGGGGCTCTCGACCTCTGCCGTTGCATCAGTGCGTGTCGAGGGCCCGGTCTCGAGCCCGTATTAAACTCCTTTGTGCCCTTGCATCGGTTGTCTGTGTCCTTGGGGGCTGCACTGGTCGACGTGGGCACAACATAGTTCAAGTAAAAGTGCAGAGTGGTAATAAACAGTTATAAAAATGATTCTAACTCATTTTTCTCCCTAAAAAAGACTGGAACTGGGAGAAGCAAAAAGAACAACCCAAAGAATACCAATGGATCCTACAGTGCTTCTTAGATAGAAAAGACTGTTGCTACTCTATCCATCAAATGGGTAAGGTCACAAAGCAGTAATTTAAAGGTGATGCCTATGCTTGCTCCTGTCATCCCCTGCTTTACATGTGGCACTGTGAAGTTGTCCATCTGCTCAATTATTTATGCAAAAAAAATTAGGATTTTTGTGGCGTTCTGGAAGACCTTTTGCTAATGTGTTTATTTTTTTTCTCCACATAAAAACAGCACAAATGGGTGTAGGAGAAGGGAAATCAATTGGCGAATGGTTTGGACCAAATACAGTTGCACAGGTGTTAAAGTAAGTAAAAGAATCTGGCATTGACCTAATTCTTCTGTCTCTTATGCCTCCCTTCACCACTGACCCAACCTCCCATAACTTAACTGCTCTTGCCATCCTATTAGGCCACCAAAATATCTGCCATTTTTCTCAGACAGTTCTTTGAAATGTGTAATCTATGGGGATATCTGTCTTGGTATATCAGAATTGGAGTTACTGGTAGCCAGAATATGCAGAGGCGTCTCAGGACTGATTTCATATTTTCCACTGCAGATTGGTGCTCACATGCCAGCAGCCAGCAGCCTGAGCCTGAGGTCGCTCTGAAGTCCAAAAGTTCATACTAAGAGGGGGAGGTAGAGTCAGCCTAGGCATGACATAGACTCCACCCTATATAGTATTAAAATAATTCAGTCATTCATCCATGCATTCATTCAGTCATTCATTCAATATTTACTGGGTACCTCTACTGTGCTAAGTGCTGGATGTACACAGTCCTTGCTTCAAGGAACTCACCATGTTGGAGAAGAAAACCCCAAGAGAATCTTGAAATCAGTTTGTCCCGTCTTTGCAGATGCATGCTACCCCATCATGGTATTTTTGCAGTTATCCTGAATTCACCTCCCACAACAAAAGGTGAGGTGGGGAGGCCAGAACTAATGTTTTGGAAGCGAATGGGATGAGTGGCATTAGCACCTACACCTGCAGGTCACCTCCCCTGTTGTCACTCTCCTTCCTGACCACCTATCACTGAGTGAAATTTCCAGGATAGTGATCATCTTTGTCTTGTTCACTACTGTAATGATAGCACATAAAGCATCCTGGTATGCATAAGTGCTCAATAAATATTTGATGAATGAATGAAAATGGCAGCCATAATGGGGCTGGCTTCAGGCACCAGAAAATTGAAACCATGTGGCTCCTTTGGTGTCATGTGCTTCAATTCCGGGGCCCTCTGGGTCACGATGATGGGACCTGCTCCATGCAAAGGACAGATGGGCCACTGATTCAATGCTCAGGTAGTCTTCAGAGAACCAGAAAGTTTTGAAATATGCTTACGATGGGATAGTCTGAATTTCTTGGGAACCCAGAGAGTATCTTGGCTTTATTGCTTGTGCTGACAGTGCAACCTCATTGAGACCACTTGCTTGCCTTTGACTGTAGTCCCTTTTGGGACATCCCTGACTCTGCTGAGTGAGGATCTGGTGGTCTTGGGAACTGTTGCAGGAACCCAGAGTTGAAAATGTGGACGATTAGAATAGTTGTGCCCCATCCCAAACCCAGTTTGAAGTGGTTTTTAAATGACATCTTTCAGCACATGCTTCTTTCTTGTAAATGTTGAGGTTCCCAACAACAAATGGAAGAATACATTCTTAACGAATTAAAGTATGTTCTGATGCATCATGATTATTATCAATAACAACAGTTGATCATGATAGTGATGTCATTACTATTATTTTGGGGAAAGATAATGCATTAAAATGAATGAAATGAAAATATAATGATAGTTAACCTCTTCCTGGGAGCTACTGTGGTTTGGGAGAGAGTGCTTATTCTTTTATTCAGTGAGACTAGGCTTTACAAAGGAATCCCAGAAGGAGCTGGTTTAAATATGTCTTCTTGCAAACTGGTAAGAGGAGAAGATAAGGGACAAATAGGCATGGGACTTTACTTAACCTCAGGTAATCTCTCTTTTAAGAGGGCTTTCTTTCTTATCTCTGCTGAAGTCATGCAATTCAGTGTGCTCTCTCTTCAACTATTAACCAGTAAGGCCCTGCACCCAGGCTATCTGCAGCCCAAGTGTCCTGAATAGCATTCTCACTGCAGATGGGGAGGGCTGTTCCTGGGGCTTATGCTCTATATTGTCAATGCTTCTCTCTCTCTGTGTGTGTGTGTGCGTGTGTGTGTATGTGTGTGTGTGTACATCTATATGTATATATGATCATGCACATGTATGTATATATATTAAATATTAATGATAATTTCCTTTTTCAAAAAGAACAGTAAGTCAGAATGTTTTTCCTTTAAGAAATAAAAAACATGGGGCCTCTCTGGTGGCCTAGGGGTTAAGTCACAGGGGTATCACCACCACGGCCTGAGTTCGATCCCTGGCCAGGGAGCTAACCCACATATGGCACAGCAGAACTCTCCTGTCTCACCCACTGTTCCCCTTAGCAGTGTATTTCAGTAAATCCACGTGTTCCACTCCTCACTTTGTCTCTGGTGAATCCTCTCATTGCTACCTCCCCCACACCTCTGACAAACACCCCAGATCTTCTATACATAAATAAATAAATAAGTATATCTTTAAAAAAAGAAAAGAAAAGAAAAAGCAAATCTCCTGGGAGCAGATGTGTTGGTAACTTTTCTGTTTCACTCAGTAGGAGTAGCATTTTTATGAGATAGATTTTTTCATTTTGCACGGCACGGCCTTCTTCTCAAAGTTTAGAAACGGTGATTGTGCATTCTCAAGGTCCCTGGACACAGAATGTTCCAGAGCTCAGTCAAAGGAGTCAGAGCTGACCAGAGCCCCTGCTTCTCTGTGACTCAGTGTCTGGTGACTTCAGGAACACTGGGCATATATTGTAGCTCTTCTTGCTGATAGTTCCCTCTTCCCCAACTATGACTTCATTGTATGTTGTTTTGCAGAAAACTTGCTTTATTTGATGAATGGAATTCCTTGGCTGTTTATGTTTCAATGGATAACACAGTGGTCATTGAAGATATCAGTGAGTCTCTGGCCTGTTTACCTCCTGGTTGATGGGTAATGAGGTCCTTCCTCACCATTCAGAAAGCTGTGGGGAGGGGTGGAGAGAAAAAGAGAGGAGTGACCTGGGCTTCCTGCAGGCATGCCATGAGCTGGGCCCTGGTAGGGGAGGGGAGGGCCCTTCAAGAAGAGGGTGTCATGTGAGGTCTTTCTTAGTTTTACTCTTGGATTATCCCCTAGGGCTAGATACCCCTAATTTAACCAGCTCTCTTGTCTTCTCTTTCTAGAAAAAATGTGCCGTGTCCTTTCCTTGAATGCCGATCCAGCCAGTGAGAGCCCCGCTGACTCTCTGAATGCTTTGAGCCGGAGTAAGGGCTGCCTAACCTGGAAACCCCTGCTGCTCATTGTGCCCCTTCGCCTGGGCATAAACCAAATCAATCCTGTCTATGTCGATGCATTCAAAGTAAGTTGCACCTTTTCCCCAGCCCATTGCCGCCTGCCCATCACACCACCATGTGAGCACGGAGATCCGTGAGCAGCAGTCCACAAGTGAGTTGAGAATCTTGCATTCTCTTTCCCTCTAGGAGTGTTTTAAGATGCCACAGTCTTTAGGGGCATTAGGAGGAAAACCAAATAACGCCTATTATTTCATAGGATTCTTAGGTAAGAAAAGAGGACTCACAAGTAAGTCATGGTGGGTTAGGGGAGGGTGGGCAGAAGGTTTGCACGGGAGATCAGGCAGTTCCAGTTAAGGGCCCTTGTCTGGCCTGGAGATGCTGTGGTCTCTGGTCCGCTCCCTCTGTCTCTGACCTGATCTATGGAGAGTGACACTTCTGTGTACCTGCTGGAGAGCAGAGTCTCTTTCAAGGCCTCCACTTCCTTGTCCCTTGATAAGATGTTTCCATGGCTGTTTTCCCACTGGACTACCAGGGTCACAGCATTGCTTCAGCACATCTCTCTCTTTCCTGTGGAGCCCAGGACAGCGAGTTTTCACTCCCCTGACCTTGCTGATCCCCCTTTTATTGGGACTCGGGCATTCAAGCGAGGCACATTCTGTGGCTTTCTACACCCACACATCTGGGCCTGCTGGATCATTGTTCTGAGCCATGACTGGGTGGAAACTAGAGGGAGCAAAGACAGGGGTATCCCTTTTCTGATAGTGGGGCTAAGCCTTCCAACCATTAACCTCCTAATGTGGATCCTAACAAGCAGTCCGGCCTTCCCTGCCTAGGGTGGAAACCCTGCCACCCTGTGCACGAGCTGTGACCAGAGACATTTAAGGCCCTTAGCATACAATGTGAGCTAACCTAATGCTTCTTAAACTTGATTGTGCACACATACCTTGAGAGCCTATTAAGATGCAGGTTCAGCTGGTCTGGGGAGGGACTGATGCTACTGGTACAACACACCATGCTTTGAGTACCAAGGGCCTAGACACTGGTTAGTGCTGAAAACCCAGCTAAGGGAGTGATGCCGCTAGGGCAATATGGTACAGGACATCTTTCATGGGAGTGGAGTGGTCAAAAACTGGGCCTCAAGGAAGTTATGAGCTTAGATTGCCAAGGAGAGCCTTAAGTAGGCAGGGAAGAGGCAGAGCAGATAGGGGGAAGAGCATGAAGGGTGTGCAGAGGACAGGGTGAGATGAACGCAGTTGCCCTCCCCCAGAGATTTGGGAAGGTGGGGTGGGGTGGAAGCAGACGTATCTGCTAGCTGTGTGACTGCCGGAGGAGTACCAACTCTTTTAGTCTTGGGTTCCTTAGATGGAAAACAGGGACAACACCTGATTCACCAAGTTGTCATCACAGTACATCACACAGCAGAGAGCCAGGCTTGTAGTACATGCTCAGAAAAATGTGGCTCCGTCCTGCCTGACCCCAGCACCTCTTTCCTCTGCCAACTCTTTCTTTCCTCACAGTTGCTGGGTGCTCTCTAATACTGCCATCTATTGGTCTATCATAAGAACTACAGCTTGATGGAAAATCAGGAAACCAGGGAGGCTTTTATCAAAAGTACAAAACCCAGTATTTGGAGTTATATAGATTTAGATATCTTCTGTTTCTAAGGTTTGGTTCCCGTGAACAAAAATGTTGCAAAAACCGATTGTTTTGACTTGAGTACAAGGTTGAAAAGGGATGGAAAATAATTTGGGAGGAGCCTCAGTGAATGGTGCATGTGATCCCTGGGCTCCCTGGCCTCTCTTATCCCGAATTATCAGAAGGAATTCAGCAAGCTGATGTAGCCCCCCTATTTCCTGAAGCCGCTGGGTAGGGGTGACTATTGTGGAGTTTGCCTGTTCATTCAAGTGGTGTGGGCAAGCCTTAGTTCCTAAGACGGAGGTTCGTATAACACCCATTTGGCAATTAACTTCCATAAACCCTTTGTTCAACCTTCACTTGAGGGCCTAAAGTCCCCCCAATTCCACTTTTCTGTCTCATTTCCTATATGAGGTTGAGGGATCCAGACTGGTCGAATGTCTGAATGAGGAACAGATGAAAATGACAGAGAACTAGTGTTTTCTAACAGGTGTCTTATACCAGGTATTCTACAAAGTTCTCTCTTTTTCATATTCTCTCTCTCTCTCTCTCTCTCTCTCTCTCTCTATATATATATATATATATATATATATATATATACACACACACACACACATAGGTATAATTACAACATCCTCTATGAGGCCAGGATCCCATCCCATTTTGGCTATCTCTTCATCCCACAAATGTTTTCTGAGGGTCTTCTTACCCACTAGGAAACTGGGGGAAACTCTCAGTGTGGGAGACCATGGCCAGGGGAAGACTGGCTATCAGATCTTACTTGCTTAGAGGAGATGTTTGTCCCTGCACTAGATGTTGCCACCTGGAGGCCTGTAGCTTGAACCCTGTTTCTGCAGGTGCTTGAGCAGCCTGCCTCTTCTCCTTGGGCCTCATTAGGGATCTTAGTTTAGTTCCTACAGTGTTTCTAGGACATTTTACATCTTTTGCTATATCTCTTTTAAGCACCCTCAGAAATGGGACGCCTGCACAGTTCTTCTTCTACTACTACTACTACTACTGCTGCTACTACTACTACTACTACAGCACACACACCCCCACACCCACACACCCCCCCCCCACACCCACATCCATCCTACCCATAGAAAAAGGCCAGGATCAGAGAGAACACACTGCTGTGACTTTCTATTTTCTTGTGCGTCCTTTTTTCCTCTTACCATCTGTGATCTTAGGTTGGCTTTCTTCTATACATCCTGGTTGTTGCTCTTCATTGTTATTTGAGTTTTTTTATCTCCATATACTCTTAAACATATGTTTATAGGGAAATGCTTTTTGAGTATAAGCAAGATACTGCTATGACCACCTTGTGTTTGTATTGTATTTTAAGCATTTTACAGAGGTGAAATCTTCTGGGTCTTATAATGCTCTGTGAGGTCACTGGGCCCAGTGACCCCAGCTTAAAAACAAAAAAATTAAGACGGAAAGTGAGATCAGTGTTTTATGCTCCATCTTTGAGAGATAAGTGAAGCTTTTCATCAAATATCAGAAATACATTCTTTGCCATCAGCTGTGCCCAACACAATTCTGGACGCCATTCCTGTGAGGGCCTTCCAGGCCTCCCTCTCTGTCCCATCCTCCTGCTGCATGAATATCTTTCCCTGGTTGCCTGACCCCATCTAGAACACAGAGGCCCGCATAGTCCTCAGGCCTGGACAGTGAGGTTGGGGGGGCCCGTTAGGTACTCTTACCTACTCAGTGTGCCACTGATGAGCATAAGAGGGAGTCTAGTGCTCTGAATAACAGATTGCAGTACAGACTCTATTATCCCCAATTCCTCCCAGGTCATTATTGAGCTAGATTTTTTCAATTTAATGAAGCATGCTATTCTTCCATTTGTCAAAGGTGATCATCTAAAAGTGAATTTTGCCAGGGAGGTCTGTCTGTGCTGATTTAATGTGAGCAAGGCAGTATTTTCTGACAGGAATTACTAACTTGCTGGCAATGACTAACTTGCTGGCTAATCAAGACTGGAAGTCAGCAACTTGGTATGTCATCGATAGCAGATCAGCATTTCCATTTCTTTCAAAAACAGAGGCCTTTTCCTTTCCCAGTTAATGCTCTCTGGCCATAGGTCTGAGAACCAGTGGTCTGGAGCAAGATGCTTTCCAATGTTGAAAGATGCAGGAAGCTCCCTAATGGCACCTGAACTCACGGCCTGGTGCTTCTACTTCCCACCTCTTTGCTACTGCTGCTCACAGAGCCTGCCATGTCATCTGTGGTCTCTCATTCCCACCTTTCCCCAAAACTGTCACTTTCTGTTTTTGGACCTGAACTCTGAGGAGATGTAAATGCTAGGGCAAATCTTCTCATCGAATGACTGGGTTTGGGTGTGGGTGGCTGCCTTTAAGCATGCGCGCCCTGCTTCGGGCTTTCTGTCATCTCATTCTCATCGTCACCAAGGGAGGGTTAGGAAAACCAGAGCGCCTCCTCCCAAGGACAGCGGTGGGGCTGGGGCCAGTAGTTCTTCGAAGGGTAAACGTGTGTCATTCAAAACAGGAGATGAACTCATTTTCTTGGACCCTCACACAACCCAGACCTTCGTTGACACTGAAGAGAATGGAATGGTTGACGACCAGACTTTCCATTGCCTGCAATCCCCACAGCGAATGAATATCCTGCACTTGGATCCTTCTGTGGCACTGGTGAGTTTCTGAAGCTTGGTTGAGCCAAGAGATATGCTGTACCGTGGTACAGAGCAGTTCCCTGTGCATTGCCCAGATCGCTAGCTAGGGTGGCAGTGTAGCGTAGTGGGGAAGGACCGGACACTGAAGCCAGACTGCTTGAGTTAGAATCTACACCCTGCTGCTTACTGGCTATGGCCTTAGGAGGAATCTCTTCACCTTTCTGAATCTCGGTCTTCTCATCCATAAAATGAGCAAAGCAATAGTTCCTTCCTTGTAGGGTTGTATGAGGTACACTGTGTGTAAGGCGGTTAGCACAGTGCCTGGCGTAATGTAAGCAGTCTTTACACATTAGCGTAAGTGTAACCAGCCTTCCCCTTTCTGTCTTGCCCTCTAATTACTGCCATCTAGGGAGAAGGAATAAGTGGGACATAGCTAGGGAGGGAGAAGGGGACGAGACGCACTGGGTGGACCGTGCCCATTCGTCTGGGCACACAATCCCGGAAATGAGGTTTTCCTCTGAAGTGTGACTGCTGTCTGCACATGCTGAGTTCACTGCCTGTGAAGTAGCCAGGGGTTCTGAGGCCTGTCTGTATTCTCTCTTCCACTTTAACCCAACTGTCAAGGTATCAGTGACCCAGGGCTGACATTCCTCCTCTTGTTTTGGACCATTCTTTCATTACTTAAGGCTGGTAGAGGAGGAAGGAAGCTAATGATTGTCTTTATTCTAATGGCTAATTTCCTTAAGGTCAAAGCCATTTTATTAAATATTTCCTCTACCCAAATATTTCCATGTGGCTTTTGTTTGCTGGCTTAATTGGCTAGTCTTTTTTTTTTTAATTGAGGTAATATTGATTCACAACACTATATAGATTTCAGGTATACAGCTTCTCATCGCAATAGCTGTATAAATATCACCAAGGACTTGAGTATTCATTATGAATGTTTATGCTTATGCATTGAATGTCTCCAGTATGTGGGGAGAGGGATAGGGAGGGACAGTAAGCAGCCTTCCTGCTTACTGGGAGATGCATCCAAAGAGAGGTCTACAGTACAAAAGCCTGCCTCAGTGTCCCCTGACCAGTTCTAATTTGTGTTCTTTTCCTTCTTTCCCCTTTTACCCCAAGGGATTTTTCTGCAAAGAAGAGAAAGACTTTGATAGCTGGTGTAGCCTTGTTCAAAAGGTAAAGATGTATGTTTTTCTCAGTCTTAAAAAATAAAAGTTATTCAGTATGGTTAATTATTAAGATTGTTTTTCATAATTACATAAACCTAGCCTGATATGAAATTATTGCAAGAGAAAGAAACTAAGATGTGGAAAATTGTACATAACTTTGGGGAGGACCAAAGAACCTTTGTTTGAAATATGCTTAGTATGTCAAGTGAGTATTTTTAGCTACTTAATATTCCATCTCTTTAAGCCTACAAGTCATAGGAAATGTTCAACTAATATTCTACCATTTTAATGTAAAAGTGACAGTTTCATATAATTCAGCCTAAATGCTCCCTCTGCATCCATATTCTGTTCATAACACTCAGATGGTTGAAGAAACTAAATTATGGTTGAAGCAACTAAACTATGATTGAAGAAACTAAATGACTTCTCTATTTTGTCTTCTGCTTACAGCTTAATATATTCCATCATATTTTAATCGGCCTGCCTTTCTATTAATTGTCATAGTCATATAAAACATAGGTGCATGCCACCACTTAAATACAAATTGCAAAAATCTGTGCAAATACTGAAACAAATTGTTCTTTTTGGTATCTTGTATAAAAGGCTATTTATTATCTTGCTGGACCACCAATCTTTGTATCTGCCTCCCTCCTCCTCGGCTTCTAACATATGCCAAATTTGTGGAAGACATTGAGCCATGCTTGTTGCAAGAATGAAGGGAAACCATAGGGAGTAGTTTAAAGAGCTCTGGATGTGGTATCAGGAGACATGAGTTCTGTCTGCAAAACAAAGGGATTGGAGAGATAGGTGTCCAGAACCTTTTGTAAGTGGAAGGAGGGAAGATTTTTCTTCACAAGTCAACAAATGATTAACACTAATGTCCCTAGCTGAATCTGAAGACGCGGTTTATAATTAGCTATGACATAATGGAAATGTATTTTCTAAAGTGAAATTGCATGCATTTTAGAATGTAGCAAAACTGTGTGGAAATAACATTTCAAATTAGAGTGAAATTTTTCTGATATGACTAAGCCATTTAAATGAGGACATACACCCTAGTGATGAACTAAAACCGAAGCTACGCTAATATGTACTAAATAGTCCCTTGGGTCAGATTCAATATGATTGACCAACATTTCTTTGGCCAACACTTAAGGAAGATCTCACCCCTAAAAGTGAGTTGGACCCATACAGCTGGCATGTAACGTGAGCCTCATGACGGAGCGTGGGGAATGAGTACTGGCCTTCCAGTAGTCGCTCCTTCCAATGTCCTTTCTTCCTGACCAACTGCATGTGGAATTGAAAAGTGCTGGATCTTCAGATGGGTCAATTCGAGGATGGGTGTATTTGCTAGGTTTTGATTTCACCTCTCAATAACTAGTCTATTCTTTTAGGATTTGGGGTCATAGATTGCCAATAATACAGAAATGTAGTGACTTGTAGTGTTTACAATGGTTTCTGTGTCTCCTCAGGAAATTCTAAAGGAGAATTTAAGGATGTTTGAATTAGTTCAGAAACATCCATCGCACTGGCCTCCCTTTGTTCCTCCAGCTAAGCCAGAAGTGACGACCACTGGGGCAGGTAAGCTATCAATCGGGGTGACTCTCAGCCAGCAGACCCACATGTAGCAATTATTTTGTGAGACAGAGGTGACTGAGGCTCATGTGTTCCATGGAATGTAACATTTTCTAGTGGGTTGGACTGGTCAAGGGAATGATATTACCTATTATTTTAATCATTTGATGAACTCAACTGTTTCAAAGAATGATAATAGAAGGAAATGAACGCATTGCAAAAGTTCAATGCAAAATCAAAATGACTAGAACTATTTTTCATGGTCTGGTTAGTCTGGTTATTTCAGATTAACAAAGCGGAGGCCATGAGTGATTCTAAAGTTCAGCCTGAAAGTTCTAGCTGAGCCTCAGCCTCCTCATAGTAATTAGGACTAAGTTAACATATTCAGTTAGTTTGATTCTTATAGAGAATTTGTATCATTTGCTAATAGACCTAAGTCCAGATCTCCTCCACACAAACTTTTCTTTAGCAAAGCAACTGCTTCAATCTAAGTGTCAAGCATGTCTTTTTTCTCATTTCTGTATTCTGATAGAATTCATTGACTCTACTGAACAATTAGAGGAGCTTGACCTGGAGGAAGATTTTGAGATTCTGAGTGTATAGAATAGTGGGTATTCAACTTAGAGATCTGTCTTCCATCTGGCACCAGAAGAACATGAACTCATTACATAAAATTTTTCTAGTCAGCAAGTGCCTGATATGCAACAGCATACAAACTTGATACTAATCATATCTGAGCCAATCACCATTTATCAGAGAAAAAGAAAGAAACAACTCTTCCCCAGAAAGAAGTAGAACAATCATGGAGGCTAGGAGCAGAAAGATTAGGAGTCAACCTTTGCTTCCCAAGCTGGCCACAGCAAGTCTCCAGCTACTGAAACCAGACAGTGGACATCTGGACAACGGACAACTTCCCACCTTGTTCAAGCACCAGCAGATGAAAGATGGTTACCCTGTGCTTCTTCACCCTGTCAGGTGTGACCTCTTTTGGGCTAAACACTAAAAAGCAGTCTGTTCTCTTGCTCTAATAATAAAGTGATTGCATCAGGGAGAACCATTCTTGTTAAATTATTTGAATATGTAGCCTAAATAATTATAATTTATATCAAAAAGTTTGTCAAAGATATTACATCAAATGTGCACTTGGTGATCTCCTTCCTATTTGGAGGAATCTTACTACTATTTGATGGGTCACTGTCCCCATCCTTATTGAGGCTTTTCTCAGATATCACCCTGTGCTTAAATCGAATCATAATCACTTCTATCAACGGCCAGCAAAATTTTTCTGTAAATGACCAGATAGTGAGTATTTTAGGCTTAACCGGCCATGTGGCCTCTGTCACAGCTTCTCAACTCTCCAGCTGATGCACAAAAGGAGCCACAGAAAATATGCATGCAAAAGAGTCTGGCTGTAAACCACTAAAACTTTATTTACTAAAACGGGAGGAGTGCTGGATTTGGCCCACAAGCTATAGTTTGCCAATCACTGACTCAAACTGTTGATTTTTGTTTGGAAAACTAAAAATTGTGTTTGAATGAATTTCCATTTTGATTTACAGCCATAACTAGAAAGAATTTATTCATTCAGTGACATTTAATCTGTGCAGCAGATACATTCCCAAACCATTTCAGGACTAGCAACATACTAATTTTTAAAGTACATATTCTTCAAACTGGCTTTCCTGATTCTCCAAGGAATTGCCTTAGATGTACCTCAAGTCCCCGTGGTGTCTTCCATTTTCCTCTCCTTACCCTCTTAACCTGTATGCATTTCACCTCCATCCTCAACTAGTCCTGAGGAAGACCAGCAACTGGGATTTGAAAAGTAGTACCAACTAGTACCAAACCAAGTTTTTTTTTTTTTTTTTTTTTTTTTTTACATTTAGGAATATTAGAACACTTGTTTCCTTGGATCCCATTTTTCCCAGCTGGCAATATTTTCCAGTGGTTCAAAATCCAAAAGGTGCAAAATGGTATTCAGTGAAATTCAGTTAGTTTCCTTCCCTGAGAGCTCCCAATATTGTTAATTTCTTGTTTATTCTTCCAGAGGATATATTTTATACATATACAAATACATGCATATATAATTTAGATTTGATTTTTTAATGACCTTAGCATTCCTTTACTTTTGATTTACCTGTAAATGATCCTGAGGTCCCAGAAGTGTGGACACTCCTTTCTTGAACTCAAGTATATGACAGTCATAAGCTTATCTTGAAATAGTCTGTGGATTTGTAGCCTGTTACAGGACTCTTTCTGCCCTTTGATTTTAAGTGTATTTTTCTTGCTTCGATGTTTTGTTAAAAGCTTGACTCACAGTAACAGGAAACTTCATGGCTGTGAGTGGACTCATGATTTGTAGTAAGATGGACATTAGAAAAGTTTTCATTAAAGAAAATCCAAAGAGTCAAATGTTTATATTTAATTCCTTTAATTTGCAATGTACAAAGCTGACACCATGCTTATTATTCAGATAGGAGGTGAAGGTAACAATAATTCAGATTATACTGATTAGCTTTATATTGGCACAGTTTACATAATATTTAAGGAAACAAAATCACCTGGAAGGAATTGCCTCATGTCAACATGGTTAAGAGTATTCCAGGAAAATTGATAATAAAAGGAAATGGTAAAACAAATCTCCCCAAACAGAATACAACACATTGATAGTCAACTCAGGCTTGCATTAGCTCTGCCAACTGCTAGAGAGAGGAGTATGCTAGATTTGTATGAGGTTTTAAAACATTTAAAAATAGCTTGACAGGCTACCTGTGAAAAAGCAACTGGATGGACATTTTAATAGAAAGTCTCTACCAGCCACAAAATGCAGAGGAACCAACATATTGCAGCTTCAGTTGCCACACTGCACACATCTGGATGGCATTTGGAATAAAGAGAGACTTCCGAGAAATTGAGACAAGGGATTTACCTTTTTCTTTCCTGGAGTTAAAAGAAAAATTCACACCTCTTACCCATCCGCCCCTCTACCCAGCCCGGGAGAAAGGGCTGTGATTCTCATTTCCTTTATGAGCCTGGCTAGATTCGATGCAACCTCTGCTCTACTCTGGACCAAGCCAAGCTATTCGTCTCTGACTAGGAAGGGAGCTGGCAAGGAGGAAGTAATTTGTCTAGGACCTTATGAAGTTAATGAGCTCCTTTCAGCTGCTGGCCCTCAAAGCTCCTTAAGCATTAGAGGGCCCACTCATGCTCACTCTCAGAATCAAAGCTCACCTCAAGCTTCTGGCTTGTGCCTCATTGCAGCTTTGCTGCCTGCCTAGACACAACGGGACTCCTTGAAGAGTGACAGCTTGCCCTCTGCAGATTTGAGCCATCCATGAATGTTTGGTCAGAGAATTTTTTTATGTGGATACACTGGGTCTGGCTTTAGCCAAATGTGTGATGACCTCAGGACATGAAAAAAAAAGACTTATTTGCTACTATGAAGAACTCTCTGATCAAGACAGTGAGGAAAGTTAGTTGAAGAAAGTGGCGCCTAGCAGGTCTTTCTGAGGTAGCCATGAGTAGTCACACAAACGTCTGAATCAAATAGTAGCACCAGGTTGACTGAAGTGGGACAGCAGATGTCAGCAGTGTGAGCTCACCCATTGGGCCTGAGGGCTGAGGTGACCAGTGTCCAGTAGTCCAGCCCAAATGAGACTCCAATGTACAGCTTGACAGGTGGGCAAAGGGTTTAAGCCTTCCTTCTTCAGACTGTGAGGTGGCCATGGTGTGGGGGAGGGGAAAGCAAAGGGCAGAGTGGCAGGTGCCCCCCTACAGGCTCTTCATACACACCTGGCAGCGGCTGACCCGGGTGTGGAGCTGCCCGGTTTTCAGCGTTTCTGATACAGGCTCCTCCCAAAATTGCTGCCTCTCCTCCACTGTTGTCAACCAGAAACTGTACTTGTTGGCAAAGTAGTGGCAGGTGCCCCGAGCACCGCTGCATTCGATGAAAGGAGTGGCCCGAAAATCCTCCAGGCAGGAGCCAGGTGAGACCAGGGACTGGCCTCCTCCCTCAGCGCCAGCGGCAGTGTGCTGCAACAGACCCGGGAGGGAGGGTGAGCGGCCGCGGGAGTTCACTGGGGCTCTCTGCTCTGGGTGAAGGGGCATGCGCGCCCTTCCTAAGCTCTGGTCCCTTGGCTCAGCGCAAGCGGCTAGTCAGTATAATAAAAGCTATTTTTTGGGACTGGGGGCTGCTCACCCTCCTTTGTATCTCTTCAGGGCAGCAGCACCCCCTCCAAGCTCCCAAAGGCCTTCCTAACCCACAGCGCAAGCTCAGCACCACATCTCAGCTAGTGTTTCCCAGACTGGGTTCCAAGGTGTGCTGGTGCCCCCTCACAGATTTGCACGGATAGGTAAATGAAAAAGGATGGATTAAAGGAAATTCAGTAGGTTTTAGAAGGCAATTTTTCTTGTCTACTCCGAGACCTTGTTGGTATGCTCCAAGAAGGCAAAGCACATGCAATGCTCCAGACTCGCTAAGCCATGGCCCCTCCCCTGGCCTGTCTACAAATAGCACTTCCTCTAAAGTTACGCCCTTAGAGCTTGTTATGTTTTTAATCCCTTCACACCCTTTCTGATGACAGGCAGTGTTTGTTACCAGCCGAGTACAAGGGTCTTGTATTTGGTCTAACAGCCTGGGCCTCTCTTCACAGGGCCCCCTCAACGCTATTTTAGGATTTCCCTGTCAGTGTCACTCATAGACCGAGGGTCTCTGGTTACTACATCCATAAGTGGCTGCTTCCGTCTCTCCACTTGCCTGTACCCTCTCCCTTCAACTCAACTGACTAGTAAGTTGGGCCTCAGGAGCTGGGGAAGAGGCCAAATATGCACTGCGTCAGCAAATGGCCAAGCTGGACACACAGGGAAGCTTTACTTTGCAGAACTTCAGGAGAGTGAGTCTCCTTGTAAGGGGCCTTTCCTGGTAAATGAGATATCTGTGTTTCCCTCATTTTGATGCTCAGAAAACTCTCCGGAACAAACAACACATTTCCCTGCCTTGCTCCATGGTGAACACTATGTACTGTCAACTTTGCAGGTGACCCAAGCGTGTGGTTGGGAACTTCGGTTTTTGTATGGGGCCATCATACAGGGGCCCACCCCAAGGGGCGCAGCCTTGGTCTTGCTCCCCCCTCTTCTCTCCTTTTTAGTAGTCACATCTCACTGCTTCCACATGCCTTACCAGGCCGTCCAAATTCCCACCACTACACATTTTCTGGAGAAAATAGGGGTTCTAATGTTAGAATTATGTCTAATGTAAGAGTCAGGGCGTTTTGAATAAGGGCTTAAGGGTGCTCTCGTGAGCGAAGCAAGGGAGGACGTCTGTAAAGCTTTTGTGCCATTCCTTGAAGGCCTTTTCTCCTAATTTTCTGGTCTGTGTGGTAGACAGGACACAACGATAGGCGAGATGCTTCGGTATTTTCAATATATTGGGAAAAACTACCCAACTCAAAGACAGCAAAACAAGGATGAACCTCACCCCTTTGCACTAATGGAAAGAAGCCTGCGGCCGTAGTCATTCCCCAACCACACTCGCACCATCTCACCCCTGGCAGTTCAGCAAAGAAGCACTGGCGAGGCAGGGTAGTCTAGTGGGTTTTCCCCTGGGAGTGATCTTGTCCCTTAACCTGAACTTTCACTTGATAGCATGTCCTCGGGTTTTCACTGGATGCCATGTGAGGGCCTGATGCCTCCTTCGGCTTAACAAATGTTCTCAGCTCTCTCTTAGCAAGGCACGTAGCCTGCTGGCTGCTGCCTTCCCACTGAAGTGGAGACTCAGAATCCCCATAAGGACACAGACACAGCATGACCCCATCTGAACTTTTCTGGGGGAGGTGACAGCAGCAGAGGTGCTGGAGAGGCAGGGTGGGCAGAAGAGTGGGGAGTGCATGCACCCCCTACGCCAGGCCAGTGAGCGGATATCCTGGCCCCAAGTGGGGAGAGCCTCTCCCTCACTGTCCACCCAGATCAGGTATTTCCTCCTTCCTTTGCTTGTAGCACGCTTGAGGCAGGTATGGAGAGGTTAAGGACTCTGCAGTTGATTCATGGATATTCTGACCCCTGAACCACTGGGTACAGACTGCCCCTTTCTGCTCATACCCATAATTGACCTGTCAGGCATGCAGAACTGGGCTCTCTGGCCTTTAGCAAGCCTAGGCCAAGCATTTTTCTTCCTTTCACACTCTATGTGTTCTACCCAGTGTCCCTTGCGCCCAGGAATCAGTGTGAGAGAACTTCCCGGAGCTCCCTACCTTCACACAGGGGGAGGGGCAGTGCAGGGACTTACCATGAGGAAGGAGTACCCAATCCAGAGGCTGCGCCAGCCCAGGGGGCACTGCGGGATGGTGATGTCCTGGCTGTGCACTGCAATGGCTTGCGAGGGTGCCTCACACACAGAGCAGCGGCTGATGTACTGGGGAATCTGGGTCTGGCCAACGGGCATCATGGGGATGGGGGCAGTGGTGGAGAGCCAGTAGGATTTATCGTTGCGCCTGGCATAATGGCACACCTCATTGATGTTGCAGTAGATGAAGGGCATAGTGCTGAAGCGGGGTAGGCAGGAGCCAGCAAACCCTGGAAGGAGAGACGGTGGGCAGGTAAGGTCAGGCTGAGGGGCAAAGCTGGGATTCTCCCAGGGGCACTGAACTGGGCTAGATGGTGGTGGGGGTTGACCGTCAACAGCAGGGACGCCTCTCTGTACCATCCTGCAACACTGCACACACACTGGAGTCTGTTGAGCAAATCTGATTTTCACTATACCAGGGAAGTTTGATAATGAAAAGACCCTTTTTATAAGCTGAACGATGCTGCCTAATTAATCTGCTTTGTAAAACTGGCATTTAATAGAATGAGTCTGTTTCAGGGTCAGCCCACCTGTAGACGAGACAATTAATTCTTGGGTAATAATCGTTGCCCCACAGGCCATATTATCACTGCACTAATCACTATTGTGTAATGGATGCTTAATATGTGCCAAATGTTCTATGCATTTGACATTGAGTGATTCTTGCAATCCTTACGCTGACCTATGAGGTGGGGACTAGACAGCCTTGTTCAAGGAGGGAGTGGAAGCTTAGGGAGGTTGAGCAACTTGTCCTGGGTACACCCTGAGTAAGGGGTAGAGGGCAGGGTTGGATCCCAGATCTGCCTCACTCCAGAGCTGCTGCTCTTAACCCACAGCCCAAGTGGGTCCACTCAAGGCTGAGCAGAGCAAGGAGCATGACACTTGGTCCTTGTGCGGAGGGAGCACCACGCTGGCCGTCAGAGCCGGTACCTACCCAGGTCCTGGTTGTGGGCTTTCTCCTGGCCCTCCACGAACAGCAGGCTGTAACCCACCCACAGCTGACTTGTCCCGATGGGGCACAGGGGCACCTGTTGCGACTGGCTGTGCTTCACCAACGTGTAGCCCACTCTCACGCTCTGCCCAGGTATTCCTGGCCTCCCGAAGGGGCCCTGCTTCCCTGGAGGCCCTGAGAGTGAGAGCGCAGGAAAGGGGGTGAGGCAGGTGTGATCAGTCACAATAGCAGTTAATCTGGCAAGCACTCAGCAGGACTCACGATGTACAAACATTAGCTCACTCTTTCCTCTCGACAACCTTATCACCCCAATTTGTAGATGAGGAAACGAAAGCTTAGAGGTCCGGCAGCCTAATAGTGGCGGAGCTAGAGTCCCAATCCGGGTGCATCTGGCTACAGCATCCCCATTAAAAAAATAAATAAACACTGTCTAGCATCCCTCCCACAGCCACCTGGCCTTGGCTTCTCTACAAGGGGAGGAGGGACAGAGGGGGTGACTTCCTGGGCCAACTTTGCAGGCTTTCACAGGAGATAAGAATCTGCTGAATCTGAGGTAGCAAAAGCAGAGTTAGGATTGGCAGGGTAAAATGCCATCCTTCTCTCCTGCCCACGGCAGACATGGCTAACCTATCACACCACTTTCCCACCAAGCTTCAGGACTGTTCTCCAATTCAGGATAACTGATATGCCTTCTCTGATATAAAATGGTAGATACCGGGCCTCCCTGGTGACGCAAGGGGTTAAGCACTGCGCTGTGAAGCAATTCACAGTCTCTCTAGCGCGAGTTCGATCCCCAGCCGGCCAGGGAGCAACCCACATGGCACAGCAGACCTCTCCTGTCTCGCCCTCTGCTCCCCTCAGCAGTGTGTTTCAGTCAGTCTGCCTGTTCTGTTCCCCACTCTCTCTGGTGAATCCTCTCACCCCCCACATCTCTGGCCTGTACCCCAGCTCTTGTATGCATAAATAAATAAATCTTTTAAAAATAATAAATAAATAAATAAGTAAAATGGTAGATACCTAGCAGGACAACCATACCTTATCTCAAATTTTGTTATTCCTCAAGTCACCCCCATTCCACGCACATCAGAAAGCCTGGCTAGGAAGCGGGGCATGCTATAGTAGCAAACAGGATTTAGAACAGTCCTTTTTGCCTTCTGGAATGTTGGACTCTATGCCTTCACAGGATCGAAGGGGAGTGGGGAGTGAATAGATGAGAGCCCAGTTTTTGAGCCTAGCCTTCTAGTAGTATCCAGCTTTATAGCCATGTTTCCCAATTCTCCGATTTGAGATTTTCACTCACCCCTAAGCTTCAAACCCTCACAGAAGCCCTCTGCCCCTTAGCACCAACATCGCCAGACCTTCAAATCCTGGAGGGCCCTGAAGTCCAGGGAGACCAGGATTGCCAAGAGCCCCAGGAGGGCCGGGAAGTCCACTGGGGCCATCTTTGCCAGGGATGCCAGGTAAACCTTTGGAGCCTGAAAGGAGAGCAGGTACACAGGAAGGGTGCTCAATGTGCAGGGCCTGAGGAGCTCTCCCCAGGACAGTGGACTCATGTGTCATGCCCAGCACTCACCAGGAGAGGGCGCACGTGCCATGCATGGGGTACCACTGAACTCCTGGCTGAGCCTTCCAGCTAGTTAGGTGGCATCAGGGCATCTCGCCCAGGATAGCAGTCTGAACTTAACCCTCTGAGTCCTTTCACACCCATTCCCTCCTCCTTTCGTCCTCCCAGCTACACTGGGAAGTATGGAAGCAACTGCTGGTGTTCCATGTCAAAAATAAGGACAACGAGGCCCAGAGAGATAGCTAGCTTTCTCCAGTTGGGACAAAGCTGGGCTCAGAAGGCAGCCCAGCCCTGCGCTCTTTATGTCCCACCACACTCCTCCTCCACCAGTACGTGAGTAAGGGACGAGCCGTCCGCAGTAGCAGCTACACTCCGGGTCCACATTCTCTAAAACCAAGCACAAGTACTGCCCTGTTGGCCCTTCTTTCTGGAAAGAAGCTTTGGAACTTTGTGAGGGTGCAGAGGAAATGCTTGGTAAAGGTGGCCCCTGGAAGTCGGGGTTCCTAGCCAGTTGCTTCAGCCTCTCAGCCAAGGCTATCTCGGCTCATTTCTCTGGGGCCCTCCTCACCTTGCAGGCCTTCAGGACCTTGAAGCCCTGGGTCCCCTGTGAGGCCAGGGATGCCATCAATGCCCGGTAGACCCAAGAGTCCAGGAGGAGCCTGGATGGCTTCTGCAATTGGTGTTTGTCCAGGAGCACCTCGAGGGCCTGAGAAGCCTGTGGGTGGGTGGGTGAAGTATTAATGTCAGGTGGAAGCCAGAGGAGGTGCAGAAAGCCTTCCTTTCTGTCCTGCAATCGCTAGCTTTCTGCTCTTTCTGTTTGCCCCCACTGGATACCGCCAGGACCAATCTGCTCATGCTTCATGCAACGTCCTCTTTACCCATCTCTCTCCTCGGTAGATTGGCAGCTCCGTGAATGCAGGAACTAGTTTAAGTTCATCTTGTCTCCTTGGGTCCCAGCACAGGCCTTGCCTTGGTAGGCAAGTCGTGACATGTTTGTTAAAATATGGTGGGTGTGCTGAGCCTTTGCTCAGGCTGGGTTAGGTGGTCTATTCACTCACTAGTCCGAACACAGTGCCAAGGAGCTAAAGCAATGTGTCCAACCCCAGAGGTTCAGTAGCATCAAAGCTTAGGTCCCCGGGCCTCCCTGGTGGTGCAGTGGGTTGAGCGCAGCTCTGTGGAGCTGTCCTCAGCCTCTGCAGCACAGGTTCAATTCCCGTCTGGCCAGGGAGACACCCACATGGCGCGGCAGACCTCTCCTGTCTCACCCACTGCTCCCCTCAGCAGTGTTTTCAGTCCGTCTGCCTGCTCTGCTCCCTGCTCTGTCTCTGGTGAATTCTCTCATCCTCCCGTGCCTCTGGCCTGTACCCCAGTTCTTGTATAAATAAATAAATCTTTAAAAAAATTTTTAAAAATGACTTAAAAAAAAAAGCCTAGGTCCCCAACTCCAGCTAGCTGATTTAGCAATACTTAGAAGCCAAAAAAGCCAATTTGCCTACTAATTCAATGAGTATTTCTCAAGGGCCTACACTATGTCAGGGCCCTGGTAAATCTGGGCAAAGAGCAGTGAATAAGAAGGATATATATGGCAATTATTGTCTGGTGATAAAGATGAAAAATGCATAGCCTGACAAGTACCACTCATCTTACTGTGAACCACGAGTACTGCTATGAAGAAAATGAATAGTGTAGTGCCAGTGGGAGGGTACAGAGGGGGCTCTGGGGAGGAGAACCTGCATTAGAGAGACTGATAAGTGGCCTCTTATAAGCATTTGAGCTGAGGCCACTAAAACATTAAAAGAAGCTGGGGATGAGGGGAATATTCCTAAATGTCAAAATTCCAGGAAGTAGAATTAGCATGTGCAAAGGCCCTGCAGCCAATCAGCCTTTTGGGAAAACTGAAAGAGACTAGTGTGGCAAAATCACAGTGACCAGCAAAGGGGAAGGACGGGCAGTGAAGATGGAAGGGGAGGTACCACATAGGGTTTTGTGGTTCATGATTAGTTTATTCCTAATCTATGGGAAGCCAGTGGATGATTAGGTTTTTGTAAGTTCTCTCTGACAGAGAGATGCAGAAATGATTGTTGAAGGCGCACAACAGAAGCAGGGAGACCAGTTAACAGGTCACTGAAATGATTCCCATGAGCAATGTTGGTGGTCTGGCCTTGGGTGGTAGCAGTGGAGGTGAGAGTTGAATGGATGAGGGCACATTTAGGAGAAACCACCCTCTGGGCTTGCTAACTGTGTAGATGTGTGAGAGTTGGGGATGAATAGGATGGAAAAGATGATACTTCCTTTCTGGTGATCAGAGTGTAAACTCAATGCACACAAATGCAGATATAATAATGTAGGTCAGTGGTAGGAGGTGAGCAGCAGTAATTTTCAGTCCTGGGAGCTGGTAGAGGCAGAGTATGCCCACGTTAGAGAAACTACCTCTTTGGAGGAGCTTGATTTAGCAGCTTCAGGCATCCAGGCTTTCTTGGTGTGGTGAGCAGTGATTCCTGAAGGAACTTTTTATTTTTAAAGATTTCTTTCTTTATTTATACAAATAAATAAGCGGAGGAGGGTGAAAGAATTCACCAGAGCCAGAGGGGAGAGCAGAGCAGGCAGACTGATGAAATACACTGCTGAGGGGAGCAGCGGGCAGCAGGAGACGTCTGCGTGCCGTGTGGGACCCTCGCCGGTGGCCGGAGAACAAACTGGCGCTGCAGAGGCTGCCGGCAGCTTTGCAACCCAGTGCTCAACCGCTGCACCACCGGGGAAGGCCCAATTTCTGAAGGAACTTTACGCCCAGACCTTTTCTTGGGCTCAGGATCAGCCCAGCATATCCTCTCAACTTACCTCTTGGCCCTGCCTTTCCTTTTGTTCCGGGAAATCCTGGGTCTCCAGGTGGCCCAACTTTGCCCGGAGTCCCCATGAAGCCAGGCTCACCTCTCATGCCTGGCAAAGTCCAAAGGGAAGCAAGTCAGGGCCTAGTTTGGTGGTGCTGGTTGCGGTAGGATGGTTTGATACTAGACAGAAGTGAGGGTGGGGAGAGCATTATCACGTGGCAAATGGAAGAGGCCATTTTGACTGTGGAGGAGGGAAGGGCCCTGTAGCCAGCCAAGCAGCCATACCTTTCAGTCCTAGTTCTCCAGGGAGGCCTGAAAAACCTGGAATTCCTTGATCTCCTTTGGGCCCTTGAGGGCCAGGAATGCCAGGGAAGCCAGGGTCTCCAGGGTCACCTTGATCTGACGATGGCCCAGGGGGACCCGGGGGCCCAGGGAGACCTGGGCGGCCTAGGGGTAAGATTAGAAGAGGGAAGAGGGACAGGTGAGCAGGAAGTGGCCACTGCTGAAAGCCTAGGGGCTGACAGGAAGCCAATGCCCATTCCCAGGTCAGAGAATGTCCCCTGGCCCTCTGTGGGGTTCTAGTGCCCAGACTTTCCCACACCCTTCTAACAAAATGCAGTCCATTCTAGGCTCCTGCATCGCTGCTGGGGTTTGGATGTGAGGCTAAACAGGCCCATGCATATCCGGTAATAGGGATTGGGCTGGACTGTGTACAGGACCACCCCGACTCAGGGCAAAAGGAGATGGCCAGCCCTCTTTACCTCTTTCTCCATCTAGGCCTGGTCGCCCAGGGTCGCCAGGCTGTCCTGCTATGACTGAAGGCAAGGAGAGGCCTGGAGCCCCGGGGAGACCAGCGGGACCTTGGAGACCTGGGAAACCTGCAAAGAATAAACAAAAGGGCTGCCTGGGCTTGTGTGCCAAGGGGAGGGTCAGGCGTTTTCAGAGAACATGGAAATTGATGCAGAGAAAATGGAAGTGGTTAGGCAAAAGTCAGACCAGCGAATGCCAGCAGAGGGCTCTTCTCCATGCAGTCCACCTTTGCTGCTAGCAGACAAACACTCCCCCCTGCCAGCAGGTGCTGCCTTTTGTTCTAGTTCTCCAAGCTCACTGGTAATGGGCTAATTTTCCCTAAACCAAGAAAACAAGAAGGCATGACTGTAACATTGGAACTGATGCTTCCCTCAGCGTTTTTGAACCTACTGTACAGGATGCACATTTCCTTCAGTTAACCACTTTCATCTGATTCTACAGACTGAGGTGGGGTGCAGGCCCCACCCAGTCAGAACAGACGTTTGGTGGATGAGAATAGAGGAGGCAAAAGTGCTGTGCCTCCCCAAGTCTTCTAGGGCTGACCTCTGGCTCTTCTGGTCAAACTGGAAAACAGTCTTTTACAGGTCATTCATATCAGCTGAAGGCTCGTTCAATAGCCAATGGAACAAATTACTCTGCACTAAACCCCCTCCTTCTTTTTGGCCAAAGAGAATAAATAGCCATATATTAGAGTAGATTCCTAATACTTGTTTGCTCAAATTTTCATACCACTCTACGTGTTTTCTGTTTGTGGAATGATTTCTATTAAAATATGTTCAAAACCAAAAATTTCAGCTGATTACAGAAGTTTATTTAATAGTCATGCCTCAAATCCACAGACGGTAATCTTGATGGGAAAGCATGGCAGGGCCATATATACAAAAATAGAAGCCCATGTTATACCGGTAGCATGGAAGAAATGTATTTATTACTTAGGTATATTTTAGAAGACTTTCAAATGAAGAGAAATAGATTCAAACTGGTTGATTAACTGCTCTGGTGGTTGAAATTCTTATATTGGTGACATGAAAATTCCCAAATATTAATGTTGTGGTTCATTTTTCTGATAAGAAAAGTAAAAAAAAAAACTTAATAATGAATTTATCCTTTTAAATTTAGGAAAGACATAGTAACTCCAAGAAAACTTGTGAAAAAAGAGTAGTTGGTTAATTCAGATGTTTTTAATTGCTCACTCATTAACTGAATGCTGAGGAAATAGAGAGATGGAAAAGACATTTCAAGGAAGGTCTCCAAATTATTATGGGTCTGGAAAAGAGACAAAATGAAAACAAAAAGACAAACTGGTTACAAAGCCACACGATGGTACTGATGGTATTGTCACTTATATCTTTGATGAATCTTTGACATAGTCATATTTGCCTTTTTTGCAAATGTAAAAATCTGAAAAGATAATGTATTTTCCCTCGAATATATAGCTTTATAGGCATATATTACAACTATGCAAATTATGCTATAATTATGCAAAACCAATAAAAGAGACCCCCACATACAGTACAGTAAGTGTGGGCAGCACACAGATTATAAACTAACTGTGGCAGTTTTTGGAGTATCCTCTTTTCTGTACCTGTTTCTTGATTTGATCTTTATGCCCATATATCATTAAATCTGAACTAATTGTAAAACAGTACTCCTAAAAGTTATATACTATTGTAAACCCATGGTGAATCAATTGACAAAGTGTTTGAAGTAAGTCCCCCTCCAAAAAAAAAATCCCAAAATCTGAACTAACCTCAAGTAGTTAAAAAAAAGCACGTGTTTCTTTAAGAATAATACACTTGAAATGAGCACATGAACTCCAAAGTGGCATGTTTTTCCGACTCCCCTTAAAAACCCTAAATATACAAATGCAGCTTCTTGCTCTAGTGCCAATATGAAAATGAATGGTATAATTTGAAGTTATTTAGCTAAAGCTATTATAAGGACAGGGATTGCTCTAGGAAGTTCTCTTAGATGTCACTCCCCCTTTTACACCAGCTTGCATGATCAAAACAGAGGTAAGTACTTATGGGAAGGGAGATGTGATATTTACTGTATTCTTTTTAAACAAATTATCTGAATTGTTGAGAAGGACAGCGGTGTATTTATAAATCACATGTAAAATACAATCCAGATACAATGAACATCTGGGCTCCAACCATCCAATTTTGGAAATTTTTTTCATAGATCCCATTTCCTTTCCTCCTTCTCAGAGGCAACTGCTCCTGAATTTTGTATACATCTTCCCCTTTCATCAGTTTGGCCACGCATATTTGTATCTCTAAACAACGTCTTATTTGATTTTACTTATTTGTAAATGTTTATCAGTGGCATCCTACCAAATGTATTCCTTTGGCACTTACTTTTCTGTCCCTCCCAGCACTGTATTCCTGAAATGTATCCATCTTGCTATGTGCTGTTTACTGCATTTGTAATTGTGATTTTATTACCTCTGACAACTAAAGGAAATGAATAATTGAATGGCCAGGCGTTCAGAATCAAGATTTGAAAACAGAAAGGAAATGCTCCTGCTTCTCTATCTCTGTGAAAGAAGCCACACACTCTCCCTACAGGCTCAGACCCTGTGTGAACCCTCACTCTGGAGAAGCTGCTGGCTTTGGGAAAAGAACAGATTGGTCCCAACTGAAGGAAAGAGTAAACACAGAGAGAACAGATGCATCAATATAAAATGCAGCAGGAAATGAATTAATGTATGACCACAGTTCCCAGAAAACGTACGTACATGTTACAAACATGCCCGTTAGCAAGGAAAATGTGGTGGGACCTCGGGCTTCAGAGCTATGAGGAAGAGAACATTCTACAAATATGATTTCTCCAGGTAATGAGTAATAACACAATGGCCAACATTTCCAGAGCACCTACTGTCGGTTGGGTGCTGCGCTAAGTGACTTCATTCCTCATTGATTGCTCACTGGATCTGTCATGTAGATTCTCTTATCATATCCATTTTTCAGAAAAGGAAAGCTAAGGGCTTGCTTGAGATTTTGGGGCCAGTACCATCCTTGTTCAAGATCGTAGGGCTAATGAGAGGTAGAGCTGAAATTTGAATTCAGTTCGTCTGACTTCAGAGCTCATTCTATTCTCCTGGATGCTACACTAAATTCATTTCCTGTTTCTGCTAAGTGGGGTACATAAGGGACTTCAGAACATTTCCAGAGAGAGTCTAACTCATACTATTTGAGAGCTGGTGAAAAGGAGGCCCAGAAAGGGACTTCAGACAATGTGATGAGGCATGGTCCCGGACTAGGGTGAAACCTGCTTTCCAGTAAACCCAGCAAATCCTAATTACGTGCGTGCTTTGTGCCTGTCCCGTGGAGACATGGAGACATGTATCCGCTTACTCTTGGGCTCCTTCCAGCAGTCACACTGTCTTTCCAGGGCCTTGGGTGTGCCTTCCACACTGGACATTGAGGAACTTCTTTACTTCTGGTACACATCTTGCTAAGTGGACAAGCCCTTTCCCTCGGGACCATTGAACCCAGGCTCTGCGCAAGTGAGGTTAACAAGGGAGAGGGGCAGGGAACTTGGAGGCTAGAGGGGACTCACTGACCCACTCCCTGACACTTTCTCAGGAAAGCCCTAGGCATGGCCTAATTTTTCTTTGTCAGCCACCAGTTCTGTTCAGCTCCAAGATTCCCAGAGACGTGAAGATATCCACAGCTTCGGCCTGTCAACTGCAGGGTCGTGGTGAACCCTGATCCTGATTCCCTTACCTTCACTCATCTTCCACTAGGCCTGATTTAGACTCACTTACCTCGGCTACCTTTTTGTCCTTTTATTCCTGGCTTCCCTGGGGTTCCGATACCAGTTCCTGGAGACCCTTTTTCTCCTTTGGGACCAGGCAGGCCAGCTGGTCCAGGCACACCAGTTATACTAGGTCCTAAGAGGAGATGCAGAGAGAAGGGGACAGAATTCAGGAGTGATAAGGCTCTCATGCCTAGTTTACTTGCTGGGGACCCAGGAGGCCTGCCTGACAGATAACAGAGGCTGAGTACTGGAATAACAGGAAAGAGAGCTCATTTGGATGGAAGGACACATTCTCTCCTCCTCCCTCTCCACTTCAGGGGGCTGGTGAGGAGATGGATGTGTCCTCAGATATGGGATACATCACAGTCATGAAATCATGGTCAGTCCCAGTCAGGCTTCTCGAAGGGCTGGTGCTCTTCTCCTTACCGTGAAGGGGCTTCCTTACCTGTATTTCCATGGCTTCCCTTGGTTCCTGGAAGACCATTCAGTCCACGTAAACCAGGAAGTCCAGGGAAACCTGACGGGAAGAACATCAAATATGGCTCCAGCAAGTCTGAGTCATGAAGGGTCAGCAAAAAGTAGCTACCTGTTCCCAAGCACTTTGCCAAATCTTTAATTTAAAGGTCATGGTCTTTCTTAAGGCATTCCTCAATTCCCTAAGGGAGACTGGACCAGCCCTGAACCTACATCTCCCTGACTCTTATTAGAGACCAATGTAGCTTCAAGAACAGGATGGGAAATAACTGGGTATCTTCAAGAAGGACTCAGAGTGGCCATGTCAAGACCTTAAGTTGTCAGCTCCAAGAGACTTGCTGTTCAATCTCTAAGGGAAAGGCTACATGCGCCAGGCCAACACCTTCCTTGCTAACTTCTCTTGACGGCTGCTCTTCTCCTGCATATGTGCCTTCCGTGCCTCCTCTTCATCCCCCTTTCCTCAGTCAATGACTCACCCGTATATGGCTTAACCCCAACTAGTATCTGCTAATGTAAAGTAGCTGTTATCCTTTTTTGAGGGAAGGATGTTTTCCCCTACTGCCTTCTCCCAAATACACATACCTTTGGTTCCTATTAGGCCAGGGAGTCCTGGGGACCCGCTCGTGCCTGGATGGCCAGGTGAACCTGGAAGCCCTGGGTTTCCTCTCATGCCTGTAATCCCAGGGAGCCCTAGAAGTAAAACCAAGGCAGACGTTCAGAATGGGTAATGGCTTGAAGCCAATCCCCCCTTTTTCAGAATACCCCCTTTTCAGAATAAAGTTGTCACGTGGCATGGTACCTGGGGAGCCAGGAAGGCCATCATCTCCAGAAATACCAACTTTCCCATCTGCACCTTTGTTTCCTGGGAAACCTACATCACCCTCTAGTCCATCTTTTCCTTTCACACCTACAAAATCAAGAAAAAAATACTGAGTGATCAAAGACCCCATTTCGGTCCTCCATGGGAATGGGTGAACACGAAGGTGAAATTACTTTGAAATTTTTTTTTTTTTTTTTTTTTTTGATAGAGGCATGCTTTATTTATTTGTTTGCTGGTTTGTTTGTTTGTTTTGTTTTATACATGCACTGGGTACAGTCAGAAGCGCAGGAGGGTGAGAGAATTCACCAGAGCCAGAGCGGGGAGCAGAGCAGACAGAAGGACCGAAGTACACTGCTGAGGGGAGCAGCGGGCGGCAGGAGAGGTCTGCGCGCCATGTGGGACCCTCCTCCAGTGGCCGGGGAGCAGCCGGGGATCGAACCGGCGCCGCAGAGGCCGCGGGCAGCTTCGCAACCCAGCGCTCAACCGCTGCGCCACCGGGGAGGCCCGAAATTTTTTTTAATGCACAGAAAAACCTGGGGTGTAGGCCAGAGGTACAGAGGATGAGAGGACTCACCAGAGACAGAGTGGGGAGCAAAACAGGCGGATCTACTGAAAAAGACTGCTGAGGGGAGCAGCACACGAGACAGGAGAGGTCTGCTGTGCCATGTGGCTTAGCTCCCTGGCCGGGGATTAAACTCATGCTGCAGTGGCTGCAGACAGCTTGATAGTGCTGAGACTTTAACCCCTGTGCCGCCAGGGAGGCCCATTACTTTGAACTTTTGAGGGAGCTAAGTCCAGTGAAGAAACTAATAAGGATCACAGCACCTGTCTTCATGCTTAGAAGGTGACACCACTTGAAAGTAAGTAAACTTGTTGTGAGTGACTTCAGAAGTAGGAACAATGAAAAATGTTTGAGAAAGAATTTAGCTATAAACTAAGGAAGTGGGAGCCATTGTCCCAAAGGTCTTTGCCAGTCATAGCAATTTTTCTGTACTAGATGGGGTTTGCAGACTTCCAAACTTCCTTCTGATCTTTAGTTTTGAGGTATCTGTGAGACACATGATAAAAGTACATCAGTCTTACCTTCACGACCAGATTCTCCAGGCTGTCCCTTGGGTCCTGGGCTACCGTAAATTCCAAGTGTCTGACCTTGATCTCCTGGGGGTATCAAGACATAGTTCAACTGGTCTGGAGAAACCAGAGCTCATTTTGCAGCAAAGCAATCTTTTGAATGCAAAATAGTTTCAGATTCAATGTAGTCAGAGAAGTTCTTTGACAAAATTACCCATTGGGTAAACAGTGACCACTCACAAACAAGGCACTGGGATCCTACCAGGCTACTGGCATGACACGCTGCTACATGCAGTCTATGTCCATTGGGGACACAGCATCACACTAAGTGTGGGCAGAGAGGATGAGAGGGGCACTACAAACATCACCAGACTGGAACAATGACCACGACAAGGACGGGAAACTGGATTCAGCGGGGAAAGAGACTGTCTAAAGTAAACGGTTCTCCTCTGCTGCTGAGTCTGGAGGGCAGGTGTGGGTAAAAGTCAAAATACAACCTGTTCCTTGTTTACATGAAAGCCACAGTGAGCAAGTTTAGTAGGTACCACTGTTTGTCTCACATCTTTGGGGAACAAAGACTGCAAAGGGGCTTTGACCAAAGGGAAAGTGCCAATCAGTGAGTGTGTTTCCCCTAAACACAGTCTCCTTCGAGAAGAGCCTTGGGCCAACTGGAAATCCACCTTGTTCTGGATAAACACATTAAAAGAGAAAATACTCCTTACCTTTTGAACCTGGGAGACCAGATATTCCTGGGAGCCCAGGACCTCCACTGAGACCCTGTGAGCCCTACGAAATAATATGGAATCATTATTTCTGCCCAGAGCTCAGGACTCCCACCCTTTTGTCCTTCTCCCCTTTCTGAGCCAATGCCTAAGAGATGCATATCGCGTATTCTGGGGCAGAGGTGAACTGCGGGGGGAGAGGTCTGCAGAGGGGAAGGTGATGAACAAAGCGCAGATACATATGCTTAGAGATTTTAGGGGTGGGTTTCAACCTACAATTTAATCTTGGTCTTGTCACAAGTAATGTCCCAGTGACTATCAAAACCAGAATCTTGAGAAATGAAGTTGTGGCTGCTTTGGCAACTCTCATAGAAAATACACACGAGAAAATCAGGGCAGGCATCTCGTGTTCTCCACAGACAGTTGGCTGCCACCACCCATGCTAAAGTTCTGGAACCATTATGCACAGGAAGTGTGTTGCTTTGCCATGCAGGGCTAGCCTCCTACTGCAGGCGCCGCAAGGAACACGGTCTTTTGGCCACCAGGTAGCAGGCTTATGTGTGTGGGTGCTGGAGTCTGAATCATTTACACAGGGAAAGCTGCCTTCACTGGCGAATGTCCAAGACACCAAGTGAGTCTGGGTGGCGGGCATGTCAGCTGCTATGAGCATAGTTCTTCCCCTGGTATCTGGTATGGTTTTGATTCATTTTGAGATGCATCCAATCAACACATATGCCACTTAGTGCCTTGGCGAGACAGGGAGTTCTGGGCTGGGTCACTGTGTTCACTGGACTATTACCCAGGGCTCCCTTTCCATTCACCTGTCTTTTTCCTGCGTGTTGCCAAATCTACTAATTCTGAGCCATTGCTTATTCTGGGACGTATCCCAATAGAATTTCCCACTTTGGTTTCATCCCTCCTAGTGTGTGAATAGTGAGGACCATCCAGTTTGGAATGATTTCTTTTGAATATTATTCCCATCTTTTGACAAATGAGGAAAATGAGGCTCAAGGACATGAAGTGATGTGCAAGTGACCCCCAAGCTAATGAGAGATGGAGCTGGAATTCACTCCCAAGTCTATTTTATTGCTAAGCCTACTCTGCCACCTGGCTTTTGAGAACCCATAGAAGCTGGGCCTGATGCCTTGCCAGTTGTTGCCTGTGGAGGCAACAAAGAACTACCTGAAATCAAAATATCAGGAAGTCTGTCCTGAATTCTTATGATGTACTAAACTCAATGTGGAGTGCCAGCACTGAGGAACAGACTAAAGTATATGCCAGGCAGTTCTTGTTCTCAAGTTTGAACAACCATATTGAGGAAATCAGAGCCAACTAGGGTCAACATAAGCAGTGAGAAATGTAGAGTTTAGCATGTGGGTGCTCAGGGGCTCTGGAGGACGGGCGCCTGGGCTGAGGCCCGGGAACAGACAGGTCAGCCGTGTGGAGGAGAGAGCATGAACCATGATGGTCCAGAGGAAGGTATGATTTGGAAGGGGTCAGACTGGTCAGAACCATGGAGAGGGCTTGCGCTGAAGCTGTGCTAGGGGTAGGGACTGGGAAATGGGCTGGGGTCAGAGAGATAGACTATGAGGGCATGTCCTCTGCTACGGAAGCTGTTCCCTGGTGGGGAGACAAATATCTGGGCACACTTACACTTTCTCCAGGTATTCCTGGGAAACCCGTGATCCCAGGGGATCCCTTCAGGCCCGGCAAACCCCGTAGTCCAGTGGAACCAGGGGGGCCTGGCCTCCCACTGACTCCCTTGATGATGCTAGGGAATCCAGGAGCTCCAGGCAAGCCGGGTAGCCCAGGGTGGCCAGGCTGTCCTTTGTCACCTGGCAAAGAAGCAAAATGGCTTGAAAAAGACTGAGCAAGAGGCAATCTGCTCCCCACAGTATAAGTGTCCTGGTCAGAGGCAAGTCATGTGCACATTTGGGGACAGTTAGCTCCAGAGTGGGGGTGAGGGTAGGGGCGGTGCCTCTAGTCACATGAGCCACCAGTCAAAGCTGCCCCAACGCTAACATTCGGAAAGCTGCTCTGTTCTCACCCCATCATCGGCCTGGTTTCTCCAGGTGTCCAACTGCCTGTGGTTCAAAAACTCAGTTCCACTGCGGCAATGAAAACTGGCAGTCCCAAAGTTCAGGGCCCTCTCATGCCCAGGTGGCTTTCTCGGACCCCTGCTGCCAGCTACACTGTTGCTCTGGGGCCCTGTACTGTGGGGCCTTTTCTCAGGAAGGAGTCAAGTTTGTTTGTAAAACCTTTCCTGTGTATTTCTCCTGCTCATTCCCTGCCCCAGCACCTTTGGGCCCAGGAAATCCGTGAGATCCAGGTGCACCCTGAGAGCCTTTGTCTCCTTTGAGCTGAAGATTCAACATGGTGGTCTTGGACTGGGTCTTCCAGCTGGCCCTGGGGTGCCTCTGTCTCCTGCAGGCATGGAGATCATAAGATCCAGGTGAGAGGAAGCTTAGACACGGGGTCAGGCCTGGTTGAACTTGCATAGTAGCTCTTCCCAGACCCCCCCCCCCCCGCCATCCTCTTTCTGGGCCCTTCCCCACCCCCTTGCCCCAACTTTGCATTTCTGTGTGTGCCCTCTCCTTCAACAAGCCTGAAGACCACCAGTAACTTTGAACCCTTCTCGAAACCCTCCTTCCTTGAGCATTGGGAATGTATGACCAGGCCTCTGACTTGCAATGGTAACTCAGAAGTGAAAGGTTTGAAAGGACTCCATTCCAAAGTCCCAAATCTTATTATCTAACACAGGATGGTTTCAAGCTACAGGAATGACAGAGTCTACAAATAAGATGTATCTTGGGAAGTAGGGTGGCAATGCCAGTATTCGATTCCCCAGTTCACCTTTTTCGCCAGGGCTACCAGCCCATCCAGATGGTCCCACTCTTCCAGTCGACCCAGGAATTCCCTTCAATCCACTTGCACCAGGAATACCAGGGAGACCTGGCATTCCTGGAAAACCTATTGGTCCAACATTCCCCTTCTCACCTGTTGAGAAACAAATTTGTCTTTTTAGGTTTTTCTGAAATATTTGTTGATTTGAATGGAAGTTGAAATCACCTTTTTTTAATTGACACAATATTGTTCTACAACACTGTATGTGATTCACAGGATCACAGCTCCTCAGATGCATGTCTGCACACCACACCCACCGCCAAGGCACCCACAGTGCTCCACCTTAGTCCACTGTGCCGCCTCACACCCTGTGTTCCCCTCCTCCCCCGCCTGTAGCCTCAATTCCATAGTCAGTCTTCTGGGGCTTCGTATTGGTTTGGTTTTATCTAATCCTTTTATTTTGTTTCTCTATAGTCCAGGTATAAGAGAACTTTCATTATTAGTACATCTTACATGCAAGGAAGTGGAAACTAAGAGAGGTTAAATAACTCACCCAAAGTCACACAGCCAGGAAGTTGCAGAAAAGAGATTCAAAACAAAGTTTCTCTAATTCCAAAGCCCGAGCTCTTATTTATTACACATTATACTACTTCCTTGAACGGGGACAAGGCATGAAGTGACAGAAAGGAAAGAAGAGGCAGGCACCTCTCTTATGATTTTCCAAGTTAGAGTTCATGTGTGGCACAAGGGGCAAAAAAGCCTATGGTGGCAGAGAGAGGCTGCTAACCTGTTGTGTGACCTTGGACCAGTTATTTTCCCCTGGAGAGCAATAAAATAGAGATGCCACCTTTCCAACCTCTAGTGTCCAGTCAGGGAATTGCAGGGAATGAGAGCTGTCAGGTTCCCTGTGTAGGGGTCTTGCAGATGAGTAAACCCAGTGTGGCTGTTACTCTCCTGGGCTTGACTGACCCTGCTGTTTAGCCCACGGTTCCAGCCAGCAGGCAGTGGGGGTGACTCACCTTGGCTGGGTGCTCTTTCAGCATTAGCCTTCTCCAACTCTCTTAGCACAAAAAGATATGCCCGCCTCCCTTTCCATCTCCCATTCCCAGGCAGAGAAGAGGGGGCAAGCTGGGCAGCATGGATGCAGCTTCTTGGCACACACTGGTCCCCACCTGATCACTTCACTTACCCTTCAGACCAGGCAGACCTGGCAACCCTGTGGCCCCTGGCAGGCCTGAGTTCCCCAGGAAGCCTGTTAGCCCTGGGGATCCAGGGAGGCCTTTCAGCCCAGGCAGACCTCTCCTTCCAGTTGATCCAGGGGAACCTGTTTCTCCTTTAGGACCTTTCTTTCCAGGATGCCCTGAGTCAGCACAGGAGAGAACACAGGACAGCTGTCAAGTTAGGCTCTGTCCAGATCTGGGCCACTGCCCGTTCCCATGGCTTCTGTTTGGTTGGCTTGTTGGGTTTTGTAAATGGCCCTCAACAAATGGCCTCTGCAGGCTGCTAACAGGCAGAGTTCTTAGTTGCTAGAGCATTCGCACCTACCACCCAGATCGCCACAGCAGTGGCTGTTACTCCCAGCGTGGCACAGTAGCTGGCAGGGTAAGCAAACCCCTTCTGATTATAACTTCTCCCTTTATGAATGTGGTCCACACTTTAGCCTCTGAATGGAGCTCTGGGAAGCCGGGGTGGCAATTGAGCTCTAGTTTTCTGGTACTTCCCCTCTGAATCGGGCCACAATGGCTGATGCCTGAGCCAATCGGTGAAGTAGAGGTTAAAGCAGAGCTATTGTTTCAGCCTCCCAGGGAGCCATGGATACAGGGCTGCCCTTTTAATCCCTCATGCAAGTAGTTAAATCAGTCAGTTCCTTGGCAGTAAGGTTGAAAGACCCCCTAGTGCCAAGTACTGTAGAAATCCCCAAGGCCCATTTGGTCTCCTAGGTATTCTGAGACTTCTTTCACCGTGCTTAAGTTGGTCAATGGGATTAACCTCCTGAGCTGCTGCCAAAGTGGAATGTTCAGGTACAAAGCAAGGAAATTAAAAAAACCAAAGGATTAAATCAGTGAAGACAGAGGTATTTGGGCCCCCAAGGACCTAAATGAATGGCTGACTTGGCTTTCTATGGATTGAAAAGCATCAAGTAGCTGCAAACCCCAGGATTCTAATGGGAGGCTGTGAGGGGGATTCCACAACAAGAGAAGGAAATTCAATGGGGCCAACCCCACAGCATGAGTTCAGGGACCCCTGGCCTTGCCAGGTTATAGTGTATAGTCACATAATTCCCCAAGCTCCAAGCTGAAGGGGATGTTAGACTATGAGCTTTGGTGATGTCCTCTCCCCTGAACAGCCTATGTGAAGACCCCAGACACACAGAAGGACAAAGGAGGTAAAAGGGATATTGGTGACTTTGCAAATAATTCAACTTTGGTCATGTGGCCACGCAAAAGGAGGGATGAGGTGGTCTCTGCACAGGGTGAGGAGGGCGGTGCAAGGAAAAGGCAAGATGCAAACACTAGGCTGGAACCAGGGCGCTGCCGGGCCCCACTGTAGAGGGAAGGGCTCCTGGGCCATGGCTCCTCCTCAGAGGCACACTCACCTGGGAGGAGGACCTCCACGCAGTCACCCTCTGCTTGAGCTTCCCCCCAACCCAAAGCAGGCCCCCACAGCCCAGTGAAGGCCATGGAGATGGGCTGGCCCCACCTGCACAACAAGGAAGGGGAAGGCAGGAGGGAGGCTGATGAAGCACACCAGGGGGAGGGGGCAGGGGTGGGTGATTGAGTTCTGCTGGGCACTGCGAGGGTGACTGGAGATTGGAAAGTCAAGTCCTCACCTTCTAAGCTCTGAGCAGGTCACACTGCTATTGCCCCTTGGGGCTCCAGGACCCAGCTAGGTTAAGTCTGTCAAGCTGGGAAGGTTCCTCCTCCAAAGGACCTACCTGAAGTGCCTGGAATGCCCGGTAATCCTGGGAGACCGGATTGGCCCTTGATGCCCAACAGGCCACTAGACCCTGGGGAGCCTGGCAGTCCTGCTTGGCCTGGTTTTCCAGGGCTTCCCTGCTCACCTTTGGGGCCCAGTAAGCCCGACTTCCCAAGCAGACCTAAGGAAAGGAAGGGACAGGCGATCAGAACTGGGATCAACAGCAGGGGAAGGGGCCCAAAACCAACGTCTAGTGAAAGAACTTGACCCGGAGTTCATCCCATGTGCCACTGTCTTCTCAGCTCCAATCTTGCTGGTCTTGCCAATGGTAAACCATAGGCTTTGCAAGAAATCTGACTATTGGGTATGGTTATTTCTAGAATTACTGAGAAAGGAAAATGAAGTTAAGTGATTTGAGGAAAAGTTCCTAAAAGAGAGGGAAAACAACATTTCCTTTTAACCCCCTAATTAATTCCATCACCCCAGATTCATGCAAGTATTCATGCAAATAGATGGGTTACTGACAGGCTTTCTGTAGATTGTTAAGTACGTGGGACAAAAAGAGTCACCCTTGGGTCCTGGAAAGCCAGAGTCTCCAGGAAGTCCTCTGTCCCCTGGCAATCCCTGTAGGCCTTGCTTGCCCATAGCACCACTTTCAGCACCCAAGATGTCACCAGGGGCTCCCTTGGAACCTGGTAAACCTGGATTGCCAACTTCACCAGGCAAGCCGTCTTTTCCAGGGAGCCCAGGAAACCCAGGCAAACCTTTGTCCCCACGCGGTCCAGGAAACCCTAAATGTAAAGAGGCAAAAACAAAAGGCCATGGAGGTTTAGAAGTGATTAGTCTTGAGCAGACATCTCTCAGACGGTTTTTCTACTAGGAAACATAACATATTAATGTGTCACTTCTCTTGAAGATATGAGCGCCTGGCCCTGGAAGTCCTGGCCCAAAGGTGGGGACCATGCCAAGTGACCAGGAAAAGGGTCTAGCTTAGAGAGGCCGGAACTTGGGCAGAGCTCAGCAAATGGCTCCTCGGGCTCCAACCCTGGCTGAAGAGAACAGGTTACACCTGGGGCTGCCTGTCAAAAGTTTAGTCTCTTCTGAAGTGGTATAACTTCCGGACTCATGCCTCCCTCTTCCTGGGTAGTGGAGGGAATGGAGGCACTATAAACCCCAGAGCTCTTGGCCTAGATGAGTCAGGCTGTAGAGCAGGGTCGCTCTTAAACTGAGTATGGCTCAGAGTCACCTGGAGCAGGAGTGCTTGGCAAAACCCAGATTGCTGGGCCCACTTCCAGAGCTTCAGGTCAGTAGGCCTGGATGGAGGTGGCTGAGAATGTGGGTTTCCTGCAATTTCCCAGGTGATGAAGCCGAGGTTGGCACAAGAAGTTGTGAGCAAAGGGATAGAGATGGACAACTTTCCTTTGACTCATCTGACTCTATTTCTCTGACCTTTAAGGAGTTTATGTAGGAAACTACCACAGGACTGGCACTCAAACAACCTGGCATAGTCCTAGCTCTGTCACTAGTGATTACGTGATCTCAGGCCAGTTACTTTCCCTCTGAGCCTCAGTTTCCTCATCTGAAATTAAGAGATTGTCCCAGCTGATCTCCAATGGCCCTTATTGCTGGAATATACTGTTGTTCTACAGCTCTAAGCTCTGTCTTGACTGAGCAAGAAATTAAAACCATCCCACCCACATCAGAGCACAAACAACTTCCTATAATTGTGAATGGCTATCACAATCCAAATACACACTCACAGCAAAGAAGAAGGTGCAGAGAAGCTCCTTTCCTTACCTGGCAATTCGGGGAGGTGAATCGATCCTGGATTTCCGGGTTCTCCTTTATCTCCCTGCAATCCACGCTGGCCCAGAGTCCCGGGGAGGCCACGGGCCCCTTTAGGACCTGAAAACCCAAAAATGAGCAGTGAGGGGGGAAGGAAAGTCAGTGTGGCGAGGTATGATTTGTGAGGATCAATCAAGAATCCCTGTCTCTTGCCTCTCTCAATCTCACCTCTGCACACTGCCCTCTCTAGCAGCTATTCTATTTTCTCAGTCCCTAAGGCTGACCTCTCAGGAGGAGTGTCCACAAGTGCTCCTGGGCTATGCCTGGCTTCCTGTGGCCCATGGCACTTACAAGTATACTCTGCCTTTCTCTGGTCTCCATACCTGGGAATCCGGGAGCTCCTGGCAATCCTGATGGACCATAGGCTCCAGGAATAATACAAGGTAAGGTGATACCTGTAAATGGCAACATGGAAGCATCTGGTGAACCCACTGAATCAGAAAAGATTTCTTCCTAGCAAGACCCTTTACCCCCATTCCATCCCAACCAAATTTTTTTCCCTGCTGAATGGCTGGGACCCATGTAGAAGAATCCTAGCATCAGATGTTCTTGGGAATTACTACCATTGCTCAGGGATAAGAATGCCACTAGTGTACAGTGACAAGATGCCACTTTCCAAACCATGCGTGCCCATGGGCAGGCAGTAACCTATGCAGTGAGGTCACCTGTGCAGGTAGAGCAGCAAACAATTACCTACTCCTCCTATTCTCAGATGAAGCCTCTCCCTAGGATGGGTGCTTGAGGTTAGTCCTAAGGGTCCATTATATCTACAAAACTAGAGTGGAGGAGGGTTTGAACCCAAGACCACTCAGGTTACATGTCTGCTCTGTTCTTGGAATGAGACTTTTCCCAAACCATTAGGTTATTTTGACACACCTCATTGGGATCTACAGAAACTCACTGATTTTCCTTGGTCAGATGTACCCATTTGTCTGTACCAGAAAGACACTGAAAGCCACTCTCTTGGTCATGACAGACACAGGGTGACCCTTCCCTCAGATTCTCATTTGAAACTGTCATCTCTGCTAGTCAGGGAGTAGGGCTAGTCAATTTCAAGATTCATGACATCGGAATTGGCACGTATAAGGCTTACTCCAGCAAATTATTCCTTGCTCATTCATAATGCAAATAAAAAAGTGTCTATAAGATCACAGAGGGGAGGTTTAATAAAAGTACTCATGAACAAATTGTTTGAAGGCTCCCTCAAGTGCTATTTACAAACAATTGCTATGCTAATTAAAATTAGTCTTGCCTATTCATTACACAATCCCTAAGGTCTGCTTTCAGCCATGGAGTCAACAGTTCTAATAAAATGCTGTAGCTTTTGCCTGTACTTGAAATAAATCACAAATGGAATTTCTTAAAGATATGTCTACAACCTTTGATTCGGACTGCTTACTCAGCTGAGGAATATTCCTCCTCCAATACCACTTCTACCAGAATATGAAGGCTTGATGACCTTTTTAGCCCCCTTGTTGTATTGCTAAATCAAAATCGGGAATTGGATGGTAAAATGCATTGGTTAAGGGATTGGGCTCTGTAGCCAGACACACCTGTGCTTATATCCTAGTTTCACTACTAACTAGATGTGTGGGCAAGAGACTTAACCTCTCTGAGCCTCATATATAAAATGGAAAGATGATATCAAGTAATGCCAACAATCTGGCACCTCAGTATGTGCTCATTTTTATTATCATACTTCTGGCGGAGTGTCTGAAGAGCTCCTACAGGCCAATCCCTTGTTTCTACCTCAGTCAGGTTAGTGACACTACTTTGTAGCCTGAGTAGAAACTTTCTGCCTTCTAGGCCCCCGACTGCTATAGTTATGTTTCCATAGGCTTACATCCTCCATAAGTGGCCACACTTATCTCTATCCTGCTATGGAAATGTGCTTCATGGGCAAGCACTTATGATGAGCTAATTCACTGGAAGGGGCTGCCAATCCCGTGTTTGGCTTAGGCCTGGACTAGGCTGAAAAACTGATGGAATCTTGACAGGGACCCTGTAGAGTCCTCTCCTGTCCCAAATGTTTCAGTAACCCCACTGGCTCCAATGTGTTAAACACTGCAGTTCCATTGCATTGTGTCTTCAAAAAACAAACTGGATAAAATGTAAATATCTCTGGGCTGGGTCCAAACACAAAGCCATCCATCCTCAATTTATCAGATCAATTGAATACATTCTTTTCACCTGTGACAACCAGATGAAAACAAAACTTTTAGAGGATGGGGCCAGAGATAGGCTTCTAGAAAGGCTCCAGAACAAGAAAAATGATTAAAGATAGTAGAAACCAGAGGAAATTAAGTAAATACTCCTCTGTGGTCTCAGGCTGGTCCTGTACACCACACCTGCGTATTGCAAGCAGAAGGTCAAAATAGTGAGCAGGTAAGGACTTAAAATCATCTGGTATCTGGTTCTTTTACTTTATGCCCCTGTTTTCTACTCTATATTTCTGAATTCAGAACCTTCTCCTCAACAAAGCAGAAATCAATTCTATCCATGTGTTCCTACATGTGATGAATGACCTGATTATTCAAAATTTCCCCCATAAATGCCAAAATCCACCTTCAGAATAAAAACTACTTCCAGTGATCAAGATACTATCATCTTGATCTGCTCTGAGTTCAATAAATAAATATCAAGCATACATGGACCCCTCTAGGTACCTCCCAAAGCAAGTTATGGCACCAGGTAGGTTCAGAAAAAGAAGGTGCTTAAGGTAGAAACCAGTCAAGCCACCAAGTTGCATAGTAAAGGAAATTGGTCCCTCTAGAGACTGCACACCCACTTGCCCCCATACCCTCCCTGCCAGGAGATAAGTGCCAAGAAGCCTCTGAAGCAGTGTCAGTGTTAGCCTTTGCACCCCAGCCTTAGGGTCAACCCTCCCCATCCAGGGGCTCCAGTGTGGTGCTCAAGCCATCGTGAGTGTCTGAGATAAAAGTGAACTAAAAGGAAGGGGGTGGTGGCCAACATTGGTGACTGAGAACTAGCTAGGTCTCATCTCCCTCTGTGTCTAAGTCTCCTTTACCAACCTTCTCCCTGCAGCAGCAATCACCTAGACCAATCAAGTAAAGAAGAAAATTAAACCAGGATCGAAGCTTCTTGAGACCCAAGGGAACTCTTGTCTGCATTTGCCCACCAATCAAATTCCCTGTCTGGATTGAGTGGAGAGAGCTGGCACCCACACAGGATCAATGACACAGTAGCCATTTCAGTAATAACCAGGGTGATTGATTACTATGAGCAGCTGGAGTAGAGCCTCTTTGGAAACAGTCAGTTGTCTGCTTGCCCAGGGTTGGTAATAATTCACACCACTAGGTTGAAAAGCTTCTGATGACTACATTCCCTTTCCGGGCAATGCAGCTGTCCTAGCCTGGGCCACCACTGGTTTGAGTGAGTACACTTAGGAACAGCATCTTAATTTTTTTGTGGCGGCAGTAATGGCTATAGTGTAAATGGCTGGGGCTCACAGTTTATGTGTTTTTAAACTTGTGTGAAAGAAAGCTAAGTTTGAGGAGTTGTATTTGGTCACCACAGACAGAAAAAGAAAGCTAATGCTGTCAGTTGAAGTAATTTGGGGGTAAAAGTCTTGGTACTACCACAGAAACATGTTTTGCATGTGGCATCTCCCAGTTTGTAGCTCGCTACATCACTATATTCATAAGAACTTTGTGTCCAGGGACTAGTGAAGTTTGGGATAGAAATGGTCCTCTGTGGGCTTCCTTTGTTTGACTCTGTCTGTTTCCAAAGAGAATGTTGATAATATCCAGGTGATTTGGGGGGGGGGGTGAATAGCTTTATAGGTGCCACGCTCTTGTAACTCAGTTTGAGACCTAGTTGCCTGCAAAATGGGTTGAGCTAAAATGAAGGCCCAGTAGGCAGAGGGGCCAAGGTCTTACACATGAGACCATGAATAAGATCTCTGGGAATAGAGCTGGAAGCAATAGCTGACACCAAGACTTCCAAAAGGCAGAATGATTTCATTTGATAAGATTCTCAAAGCCTTCATAGGAATTTCCAAATTAAAATACTAATGGGTTTTGAGAGTCTTGATTCATAAAGATGTAAATATCTAAGTAAAAATAATTTGGAAAAAAATTTAAAAGATAAAAATCGAGCTTTACCTTTATGGGTATGTTTCTGGAGAAAATGACTGTAAATCAAATTTCTGTAAGTCAAATTATATTTTAAATATCCAAGGAGGACTCATTATATAATAAAATAGCATGGGATGAATAATAAAAAAAGAGAATCTTGAATCATTAAATTTTAACCTGCGCTACCATTCTCATTACACCAATTCATACAAATATTTTGAAATAAGTAAAAATTTATAAGATGTGGTATTCTGTCTTCTTTGTAATTCTCCAAGGTGACAAGGTAGAAAGAGGAGAAGTAAGTGTAATGAACAACTCCTTCATTATTGGGAGGCCCTTTCTTCTGTGAGGATATTTTAGCCTTCTGTGGGACACTGTACTGTGCTAAGTAGGTTGAAAAATGCTAAAAGATATTACTCACCTTCCCTAGTATCCAGAGGCTTATGAGGCAGTTGGGAAATGCAGAAGTATTAAGTGGAAGAAAATATATAATTTAAGGGGCAATGACAGGCTGTAGACACCAAGGGGAGGCTTAATGGAAGAAGCAGGACTTACAGGGAACCCTGAAAGGTGGATAGGATGCTCCTATATAGAAAAAAGAAGAATGGAATTCCAGAAAAGACAACATGGACAAATTCTTGGACTTGTAAATGAACAGATTGTGTTTGGGAACAGTAAAAATACTGTGGTTTATTTATTTTATATCATGAAGAGTGGGAAATAAGTTAAGAAAGGTTGGTTGTGACATGTTTGGAGACTTCTGCATTCTAGCCTGAGGGGTTTGGACATTATCTTCTATTCAGTAGACAAAGTTAGTTGCTTTGGACGAAGGAACTAAATGAGTCAGTTGATTTTACAGGTATTACATTGGTAGCAGTGTTCATAGTAGAAGTGAGTGTGGAAAGGCTGGAGGTAGAAGATAGGAAAATATTTAGGAAGTTTCTTCCATCCATCCATCCATCCATCCATCCATCCATCCATCCATCCATCCATCCATCCATCCATTCATCCAGCCAGCCAGCCAATCCGTGCATTCAGCCAGCCAACCAACAAGCACATAGGTATTTGATAAGGTAGGTTTGAGATGATAGCTTAATAGCAAAGAAGAGTAAGGGAAAAATACAATGGGCAGTGCAAAGGAAGAATAAGAGATAAGCTTCATGTTTTTAAACTGCAGACGACTATAAGAAGTATGGTACCACTAGTGGAAACAAGTTGGGATGAAAAACTGGCTGTTCAGGCTGTATGGAAAGCAAGTTATTAGCATAGCATCTTCATAATCTACAAACAGAACTGTTATTCACTAAAATTCCTGAAATTCAAGCATAAAAAGAAGCTATACAAATGACAGGGAATTAAGATATAAAGTGGAGATTAGAACAGATACAATTAGAGTCTCTTCCCAGTCTGAGATTTCATGAATGAAGGTAAAGTGCTTCTTGCTGGCTTTACCATACATTTTGGAGGACACCTTGTCCAGTCTCCCACTGATTACTTCATTGGCATTCACGACAGATGGTCAACAAGCCTCTGCTTGAAATTTTTCAGGGATTATTAGCTTATAGCCTCTCAAGGAAGTTCAGTTACGTTTTCTGACTGCTCTGTTAGGAAGTTCTTCAATAAGTAAAGCTCAGAAGTATGTTGTTCTGTGTAAGCATATCACAATACAGTTACGATCCTTGTGAAATCCTTTAAGAGGACTGAAAATAATTGTAGTCAGGCAAGTGTCTTCTTACAATACATTTCATGCACCTGTGCCATATCTAGACTCTGCCAGCGATCAATTTCCAAGTCTAAAGCCAGCTGACTTCCTGACTCACCTGGAAGCCCAGGGAGGCCTTGTTGCCCTGGTAATCCATCTATTCCTTTATCTCCAGGAAGCCCGCGTGGTCCAGGAGATCCTGGTAGCCCAATTCCTGGGGGGCCGACTGGGCCAGTATGGCCTTTTTCACCAGGAAGTCCTGGCAATCCTTTTTCACCTGGGAAGCCTTGTCCACTATCACCCTAGACAACACAGAAGAAAGAATGAAAGTCCAGTGGAGAGTCTTATCTGGAGAAACTGTGTCCCCAAGAAAGAGATAACCAATGTGACTAATGCTTGGTTTTTTGTTAGAAATTCTCTCATTTTTCAATCAACTCCTCTGACTTTAGCTTGTGGGAATGAACCTTGTCAGCCTAGGGTGATCTGATAATGCAAAAGGTTCTAGATCAATAGAAGAAGGGAACAGGAAACGGGAGCAGGATAACAATTTCTGAAGACACAGAAAGTAGCTTGATTATCTAAAGGAAAAAATCTACTGAGAACTGAAGCATTTCTGTGATATGGTCATTGTTGCTAGCATTAATCGAATGAGACAATAAGCCATTATTAGAGATTCCTATTTTACAAAAAGGAAAAGCACAGAGTGAAAAGTACCAGTGACACAGGCAGGAAGACATATTCTGGACTCTGTTCTTCTCTTTCTCATGGTCCAGAGGCCATCAGAATGTCCCAACACCCACCCAAAGTCTGGTGTGTGTATTTATAGAGTTAATTCACCCAGGAAGGACCAACTTACTGGCAGACCTGGAAGACCTGGTAGACCTGGTATTCCATCCTTGCCTGAGGCTCCTGCCTGACCAGGACGTCCTTGGGGGCCAGGATCTCCCTGCTCTCCAGGTATCCGAGATCCTGTGCTAATAGTTGGTTCCCCCTTCTTTCCTTTGGGTCCTGTAGGACCTTGAGGCCCAAATAAGCCCTGACAAAGAGACACAAAGGACATGATTAGGAGAGGTAGCAGACATTTAACTCTCAACAGGTCCTGACACTCTTCTAGGCACTTGATTATATTGTCATCTTGAATAATAATTGCTGATATATTTTCTGTACCCTTTCTAGATTCTGAAATATTTGGGGATAGTAGCCTTGTCTAATCCCTTCCAATTTTATCTTCAGGGCCCAGCACAGAGCTAGGTAAATGTAGAGACTTTTGTGGAAGGAAGGGAGAGATTAAGGGAGGGATGTGGGTAGGTTAGTACAGAAAGGGACCTTAGAGACTATCTAGTCTGACTTCTAAGATCAAAACCTTAAAACTTTGTTTTGTCCTCATTTTCCTTTTGTGTTTGAGGAAAGTGATTGGTAAGGAGTGAGGGCACTTGAAGGCGCCCATTGCTCTCTCAGGGCCATTTTTTTTTTAAAGCTTTATTTTATTAATACAAGAACTGGGCTACAGGCCAGATGCGTGGGAGGGCGAGAGGATTCACCAGAGACAGAGCGGGAAACAGAACAGGCAGACTGACGAAATACACTGCTGAGGGGAGCAGCGGGCGAGACAAGAGAGGTCTGCTCGCCATGTGGGATGCTCTGAGGCCAGCGGGGATCAAACCAGCACTGCAGAGGCTGTGGACTCATGGTCAAATTTTGGCAATACTTACTGGAGCTCCCGATGGGCCCTGCTCTCCCCTAGAACCTGGATCTCCTCTGGTTCCTTTGAGGCCATGGTGGCCTATGAGACCTTGCGGCCCAGGTAGGCCTGGCTTCCCAGGTGGTCCAGTGTTGGGGATACCACCATCACAAGCACAAAAACCCGAGTCACCTGGGGGTGGGAGGTGGAGGGAAGACAACATTAAAGCACATCATCTTCCTAACAGGAAGCAACACCTGATAATGGTAATTTGTGACTGAACAACTCCCTGGAGGAAATCAGGAGATCAGAGAACAAACTCAGATGAACTATGTTGCCTCTTCCTCAGATTACATCTGAGCTAGTGACTTAGATTTCATTAGTCTGAGGTGGGGCCCAGCCAACAGTGAGTCTAGTATGCAGCCAGGGCTGAGAGCCACTGAATTATACTAACCAAATAAGAGTATGGAACCCAAGCACTCAAGAGCTCTCTTCACCAAAATGCCTACCCCCCTCTTTTCTGTACACAGAGATAAATGCCAAATTAGTGAACAATAGGGATTCAGCAAAACACTTTTGAAAAGCTATCCAGGCATCTCTAGCATTTTGGCCTCCAACTAGCCTGACTTTCTATGTTTACAGCTTGAAAAACGAGAATTTATGCCAACACAGGTAAGTCTGAGTTTCCCTAAGATGCTAAAGAGTTTCTCCTTACTTTTAGAAAATTAATAATCCCTGGGGGATAATTAATCTGTTCTCCAGGTTAGCATTTCTCAAGTGTGATCCATGGGGCTCTGGCATGAGCTACCTGTGATGCTCGATTATAAGGGACCTGCTGAGACTCACCCTCAGGCTAATTGATCAGAGGCTCACGAGGCATCTAATTAAAAAAAAATCTAATTAAAAAATTAAAAATCTAATTTTTAAAAGATTTTTTTAATTTATTTATACAAGAACTGGGGCACAGGTCAAAGGCGTGGGAGGGTGAGAGAACTCTCCAGAGACAGAGCGGGGAGCAGAACAGGCAGATGGACCGAAGACACCACTGAGGGGAGCAGTGGGCGTGACAGGAGAGGTCTGCTGCGCCATGTGGTCCTCTCTCTGCCGGCCAGGAATCGAACCCCTGCTGCAGAGGCTGTGGCCAGCTTCACAGCATGGCACTCAACCCTCTGTGCCACCGGGGAGGCCCACCAAAAATCTAGTTTTTAATAATCTCCCCTAGGTGATTCTCATGTACAAAGCAGTTTGAGAATCTCTACTGCAGACTTGTAAGGCATCTACAGGCCCCATAAAAATATAGAAAGGGGGGCCTCCCTGGTGGCGCAAGGGGTTAAGACGCAACCTGTGAAGCTCACCGCAGCCACTACAGCACAAGTTCGATCTCCGGCCAGGGAGGTGACCCACATGGCGCAGCAGGCCGCTCCTGACTCACCCGCCGCTCCCCTTAGCAGGGTCCTTGGTCCGTCTGCCTGAACTGCTCCCCTCTCTGTCTCTGGTGAGTTCTCTCACCCCCCAAAACTCTGGCCTATATCCCAGTTCTTGTATGTATAAATAAATAAATCTAAAAAAATATATAGAAAGGGAGGCATGGAATTTGTCCCTCTTTTACAATTGAGAATGGCGTCAAGAAATACTCTAGCTTTATAGTGTGTCAGGGAAGGGTCAAAATTAACATTTTAAGACTTGCAATTTAATGTCTTCCTTGAATCTGAATAGTAATGATGGAGCTTTCAAAAACTTCACATATAGCTGCTATATTTAAATGGTAACATTTTATGATAGGGCAATGAGAAATTAGAGGAGTTAAGTTAGGGCTTCTCTGAGGCTGAGGAACGCTGCTAATTCCTTAAGAGAAGAGGTCATATCTCAGGTGCCTGAAATCTCCAGGCCAGGCCCAATCCCCTTCATTCAGTAAATTCACATCTTCAACCCTGGCCTGGGCTACAACTTAATGAATTAAGTTATTTGAGCTTTAATATATACCTCTCAGAGTAAGAAACTGATGAATGGCCCAAAGGCCACAAGAAGATGGAGAGAGCAATGTAGCCAAAGGCTGAGGCTATCAATCAGCACTTCAGTATCATGGGGGGCTGGAGTTGTTTTTCTGGAGGCAGTTGGCTTTTTCAGGTCTTGACTTGCTTAGAACCCTTTCCTTCAGGCTGAAGGTAATAAGCGTCTTCTAGCCTTAGCCTTACGAACTGGGAGGAGCCACTTTTCCCTGTGTGACCTCAATTGCTAGTCTCAGTCTTAGACCCCCAAAGACAACACTTCTAATTCTACAATCAAGTCCCCAATCAAGATCCAAGAATGCTTCTGTTTGGTTTGTTGGTTTGCTTTTCCCTAGAAAGTCTTCTCCAAGGAGTTTGGGCAACAAAGGATTCCCATAAAAAATCACCTTTTACTCCTTTGAAGCCTGGGGTTCCTTTTGGACCTCGTTCTCCTCGGAGACCAGGGAATCCTGGCTGTGTGTTCTGGAGGGTTCCCATCTCAAATGTTGGACCTTCAGGGGAAAAAAAAAAAATATATATATATATGAAAGATATCACCACCTTTTCTTATGTTGGGCCTGGTGATTCTTCTGAGTCAGCATAGCAGCTCAGTCACCAGAGCATGGCCTCTAGGCTCACTATCCAGATCAGAGACTAACAAAAAATCCAAGACTGGGACCCAAAGTCTGCAGAAAGTCCATCCTCTGTTGGCTCAATCCATTCTATTACCACTTACAGAGCATCTACTATGATCCAGGCACTGGGCTAGACACTGGGGATACAGGAATGAACAAGGTAGCTTCAGTAACTCAAGTCCCAAGGATTACCGCCTAAAGGTCTCCTGTGACAAAAGAGGAAATGGTGCAAGCTGCAGTGGTCATGGGATTTAGGTTATTAATATGTTGGGAATATGTCTAATCTTTCTCTTAGAGTCTAGAGTCCCATACTCAGGTAGATCTAAGAAGAATAAGCTCTATGGAGGCACTTAGCAGCCATCGTGAGGATCCAGGCTTGGCTTCACATTTCTGAGGTCCTAGGTCCACCCCAATGGTGCCCTTGGACCAGGAGCTGCAAGACCAGAGGCTTAAGGACTGAGAAGCACAAAGAATGGAGTGAAAAGGGCCTCCCTGGTGGCGCAGTGGTTGAGCGCTGGGTTGCGAAGCTGCCCGCAGCCTCTGCAGCGCCAGTTCGATCCCCGGCTGCTCCCCGGCCTCTGGAGGAGGGTCCCACATGGCGCGCAGACCTCTCCTGCCGCCCGCTGCTCCCCTCAGCAGTGTACTTTGGTCCTTCTGTCTGCTCTGGCTCTTGTGAATTCTCTCACCCTCCCCCGCTTCTGACTGTACCCAGTGTTTGTAAAAATAAATAAATAAATCTTTAAAAAAAATTAGTTATTAAAACAAAAAAAGAATGGAGTGAAATGAATGCAAAAGTTGGAAGGCATTATAATGTTTGATCAGGGGGGTGGCCCTATCATGTGTTTTCCTTGATGAACTGACTGCTTCAGTAGCCAACATAGCTGTTTTACTTGTGAGATGTTCCCTCCCTCAAAAATCATGACTGTTCTGCAGTCTGGATCACACCTGAATATCAAGACCAAAGAGAGAAATGAACAACTTACTGCGTGGACCTGGTGGGCCTGGTAGGCCTGGTAGACCTGGCAAACCAGTTTTGCCAGGGAGGCCGATTGGCCCAGTTGTAGTGCGTCCTGGGTTTCCTTGGTTCCCCTTCAGGCCTGGAAATCCCTGGGGTCCTTGGGCACCTGGGATACCTGGAAGGATAGGCCCCCACAAAAATGCCAATCACATCATCCTACTTTTCTGAGGTAGTCCAATCATTGGCATAGGTTGGAAACTAACTCCAAGGGAAGAATTTGGGAAAACATCTGCCATTCTTTTGCATCAGTTAGAAGCGTCCTTAGGTGTCATTTAGCCTAACCTCTTGGGGAAGTGAGGAAACATGGTCGAGAGCCCAGAGCTTCTTAGTGGCAAAACTGAGAAAACTCTGGATCTCTAACCTTCTTTTTTGTGAGTTTTTTCTAGCTTGGTTCTGGGGGCAGCTGTACTTCCCTACAAGTGGCTGCTTTAAAAGCACAGGTATCCTTACAGAGGACCATCTCCAAGGAATTTAGAAACCAGTACCTTTAAAAGTAACATCTGAGGATCTCCCTGGTGGTGCAGGAGTTAAAGTCTCAGCACTATCAAGCTACCACCAGCTACTGCAGCATGAGTTCGATCCCTGACCCGGGAGCTAAGCCACATGGCACAGCAGATCTCTCCTGTCTTGCCCACTGCTCTCCTCAGCAGTGTATTTCAGTAGATCTGCTTGTTCTGCTCCCCACTCTGTCTCTGGTGAATCCTCTCACCCCATCCACCCTGCACCTCTGGCTTACACCGCAGTTCTTGTATGCATAAATAAATAAAATAAATCTTAAAAAAAAGTAACATCTGAGGCTTTATATTTGGGACATCATGTGCTGGCTATTATAGAATGATGTGGCCTCTCCAATGAGTGGTTCAAAGGTGTCATCCTTTGGACCCTGGGTGCCCAAGTTAGGCTCAGATTGAAGTTATGAGTCCAAGTTTTTCTCCAGACTTTTGTTAGTCCCTTTTAGCAAGCATCTAATGTGATGACACATCCATAGAAGAGAGACAGGGCTCCAGCAGCCCTACCCAGGCCTGCTTGGTTACTGCAAACTTCAGTGACAGTTTGGGATTATCTGTGCAGTGATGATACATGTTGGAGGTTAAAGGAAAACCGATCACTCAGAGCCTACCCCTATATATATAAGCCTTGGGCTGGCACTGGGAAGGTTACTGATTATAGTCTACCTTTTCCTTGACTTTGGCTAGGTATGGCCTAGACCAGAAGTATAGGAGAGGGTGCTGGGCACCAGAGTAGATAGAGCATTGATCTGTGCAGAGAGTGGGTTCATTTGTTTCACCTGGGAAAGCTGGTAAACCAGGGTTGCCAGAAGGGCCACGACGGCCCTGGTTGCCTTTGTCTCCTTTCAGGCCCGGGAGGCCTGGCATGCCGGGGTCCCCAGGATAACCTGGCATTACAAGTTAAAAAAAAAATATATATATATTAGTAAACCCAAAGGAGGTCCACAAATGTCACAAAAATGCCTAAGGGCAGTTTCAAGGAGCTGTCCTCAGGTTAGAAATGTCTTTCTTGGCTTTCACAGGCCTCCCAGATGATAATGACTTCACATGATAATGGCTTACTGGTGCTAAGGCTCTGCTAGTTTTAGAACGGGTCTGGTCAGGGCTTGCCTTCCATGGTGATATCTTGTAAGCACTAAGAAGGTTCTACTACTATTAATCTAATCCCACAAATGTCTACCATTTGGTTAAGGTGTTGAAGTCTACTAGTTATGAGATACACATAGGCTTTCTCGGAATGGAATGCAGGAAGCCACTGTCAAATGTTAACATCGATGTTCCTGTAAGTTGACCAGACAGGGCAAGAGCCAGAAAGGATGAGAAGCAAGGTAAATTCAGAGATCCAGCTGGCAGAGGCACTATAGTAGAAACTTTTGGTCAAGCAAAAAGTAGATACACTGGCCATCTGGATCTTTGGAGAAGGCAGAAGGAAGGGTGGGCACACATAATAACTAGAAAAAAGGAATGGCAAAGACACATTTTCAAAGTTTCATACTGTTGAGGACTGTTAACCACTTGCTACCCTGACCAAAGATACTTTTTCACTTTGAGGAAACTGTCAAGCTAAAGCCATCCCAGCTGAGAGGATATCATATCTTCCCTAAACATGACCAGGAAAACCATTTTTAAAATCAAATCCAGGCCCAAGCCGACCCAAACCCTAGTATTAATGGAACCCATACAAAGGAATGTGGGGAGGCTTCTATTCCTAAGATATTGGTGTAGTTTCACGCCCCAAGTTCAAGACACATTAGGGGACCTTCAGATTTTGCAGAAATCTAGTGGCTGAGAAAGTATCTTTGTAACAGTTACCGGGGATATAGGATTTAACTCCTGATCTTTTCTTCCCCACTCAAATAAGTGAAAAGTTTTACCTGCAATCACAGTTCCCTCCGTATCGATGAAAATATCTGGGCCTGGCAGGCCAATATCACCCTCTTCACCCTGAAAATATCAAATACATTAAACACAAATATTTTCATAACCTCATGATCAAATATATATGTGCCCTCAAAGGCATCCCCTGGGAATGAAGGTTCCTCCTTGTATAGCCAACCCTTGGTTTCTAGGGCCAACTCATCCATAGTTCAATTTCAAAGTCCAATAAATTTAAGATGACAGCAATACAAGGCAGGCCAGAAGCCTGATATTTAACTGCAAACCTGTCAAGAGCAAGGGATGCCAATTTTATTTTGCGATCCTATTCTGGGCCTGTAAAACATGTCTTAAGTAGCATTAGATAACAAGTCTGTGTCCAAAAGGTACTAAAGACAGAGAGCAGAGTTTCAACTTTTTTCCATGCTCAGCAGGCCTGAGACTGCTACTATTACTACCTTTGTTAGTGGATGACGTCAGGCTGAGGAAGTCAGAGGAGTCCTAATTCTTTCAAAATAGGGGCTCAGGTACCGGATTCAGATACAGTGGCATATTCAGGGTAGAATGGAGGAAGCTGTCTACCCTTGGTGCAAGCCATAAGAGGAGGCATTATAAGTAGAGAATTTAAAATATATATTTAAACGTAAAAAACTAGCAATTCTAAATAATGTCTGCAATGAAATATTCCTTATCACCCAAAGTGGCAAAATATCAAAAATATTTCATCTCACATGTAGGCATCTGCTATGGTCTGCATGTATCTGCCCTCTCCCAATTCATATTGAAAACTTAATGTCCAAGATGATGGTATTAGGTGGTGAGGCCTTTGGAAGATGGTTAGGTCACAAGGGCTCTGGGATTAGTGCCTATATAAAAGAGCCCCATGAGTGCTAGCTTGTCCCCTTCATCACATAAAGACACAGAAGACGAAGGCAGTCTGGGAGCCAGAAGAGGGCCCTTACCAGAACCCAACCATGCTGGCACCCTGCCCAGGGGTTTCCAGGCTCCAGACTATAAATAATAACTTTCTATTGTTTACAAGCCACCCAAACTGGGACATTTTGTTATAGCAGCCCAAATGGACTAAACAGAATTCATGGTAATTCTTTATTTACACTTCTACCTCCCTAGTTCTGGAATTTCACTTGCCTGACATTATTACCTTTATTCCTGGGAATCCATTCAGCCCGGGAAAACCTGAGGACCCCTTCTTGCCCTGTGACAGAAACATGGGCTGGATTAGGGTTTTTGGATTAGACCAAGGGACATGGCACAAGGATCTCAGTTGGCATTCTAGGGTTTGTATAGATTCTACCCAACTCTGGAAGCGGTAATTATTCCGGGTATTTAGCACTGAATACACATTTTGGGTGAAAACAGAGTGCTGAGATGATACCAATCAAAGAGAGGAAGACAACTTGCACAGTAAGCAGTGTCTCCTTTTGTCTTGATGGCCTTGTGAAAAGTAAAGCAAGGGGACCTTTGATTAGCATTTTATACCTCAAAATGTTAATGATTTAACCAAAATACCTGACTTCCTGGAGGGCCTTGGACTCCTTCGAAACCCATGGGACCCTGTGAAGAGAATAGAGGCACCTTGGAAAGATTAATAGCCCACACTAGATAAAGCCACTGACTTTCATAACAAAGCTATCCAACTGAGTTCAGGATTTAGCAGCTTCTAAAATCAGGTAAGAGAATGTTCCTAGACTTGGCTTAATGACTTCCTTCTAAGCACTAATCCATCAGTCTGAATAGCCACACAGCATTTTTAAAGAGCTAAATAAATGGAAACATTTTAAGAACTAGCAGGAATTTGGTAGAAGGGCTGGGTGGTATTATACTTAGTCTGCATTAGTTCAAGTCATGAGATTTTTAAATAGATTGTGGGAGGGACTCTTGTTTCTCACTCCAAATGCATTCTTTGTTGGTGATTATGCATTTTCAGGATAAGGGAGTAGGGAAAAGTAGAAAAAGAAGTGGCAGGGTAATGGATGAATATTGATGAATACTCAAAAGGCTCTTAACAAGCTTCATGACCAAGCTAAAACCACAATTCTCTGAAATGTTACTTCTTTAAGGCTAAGGCTGGCCAATTGCTTACACCCTGGGCCTAAGTGGCTGAAGCTAGGAATCAGAGAGGTTACAGTTATTTTCCCACTTGAGGTAAGATTATTACTGGAAATGTTGACTCCACACATCTCTCATTATGGTATAGAACTTCCCAGGCTCCTTTCTGTCACATAAAGATTGTACCCCACCCTCCTGTACTCCCCTACCCCACACCCCACCCCACCACACCCTTGTCCACACTTCCTTGGAATAGAATGGAATGAACACATGATGAGACTTGCATCATTCTTTAGCCCAGAAGATAATTATACATGAGGACAAGGAGTGTAAATAGATTTGGAACCACCTGGCATAAGGGTTACATCATCATTATTCAAGGGAGTCACTTAGGCAAGGGAATGGTGCCAAGTTGTGAGGAGGGTCTTAGGTCTTCCTCTAACAGAGGGTGAGGAACAGAAACAAGAAAGATTTAGGAAGACTGCCAAGTCACATAACATAAATATGCAAGCAGGAAAGAAAGTGGACCAGGTAACTTGATAGACCCAGGTAAGCAACATTCTTGGTTCATACCCTAGGTCCTGGCAAACCAGGGATTCCCTTTTCTCCCTTTTCTTCAGTAGTTCCAAATCCCTAAAGGGGAAAAAACAACAACAACAACAACAACAATAACAATACAAGTTAGAACATTCATTTCCTCATAGGTCTCCTGGCTCCATCCAAAACAAGGAGGTAGTTTTGAACCAACTCTACTGTCCCATTGGTCAGGCTCACCATGCTGATTGTCTTGTCCTGCCTGAGAAACACAGAGGGCCTGAGCATCATTTGGACTATTCAGTCAAGGTTTCCTTTTGGTTCTAGAAATAATGTCTTCTCTCCAAAACACTAGGTCATGTATTTATGGCCCCATGAAATAACAACATAAAAATGATTAAATGTCTAACTTCATTGAGTTCACAAGGGGGAGCCACTCAGAAGGACTAAGCATCTTGCATGGGTTATGGATTTAACAAGAGAACCAGGTCTTTAGCCTCCTATTCCAGGGCCCTTTCCATGAAAATAGGCTGCCTTCCACCCTTTGGAGCTTAATACTTTGACCTGCAAAAAGAGAATTGCATTAATTCTTGGAGGTTGATACTAGAGGGAAGTTTTTGCTCTTTGAGACAAGGTGACTGCAACATCCTCTTCAAGTATTTCTATCTATGCATAGACGCCAGCAGGCCCCACAGACAGTCTATCTTTGACATGGCTTTGACATGGTCCCTAACCCCTCATGGTCTGCTCACAGGGTTTGCAGCCATGGATGTGACTTGAGGATTCTCTGGGGACAAGCAGAAATCCCCAAAGTAGAGTGAGTTAGAAAGAGCTTCCTTCCCTCTGAGTCCAAGACAAGCATATTCTGAGCTCGTTACTACCAAAGTGGATAAAAGTCTTTCATTGCAAACTTAATTGAGGCTGATTTGTTGTTGTAGTTTAAAATTGGACCTTCTGGAGCATAGATTTTGGCAAACAACCTTAGGTCTATTGTGAGAGTAAAGGAGGCAGTGAAGCTTTTCCAAATGTAAGCCTGTGAAAGACGCTAAATGTTGTGGCACCTCTCCTGCTGTCCTCTTGATGTGACCTGGCTCAGCTCATGTGAATGCACTGCCCCAATGCCATTTATAGTTTGTTCTTTCTCCTGCACATTCAGTTCATGCCCATGGGTCCTGAGAGCTGGCTGAATAGCCCTGATCTTTTTTGGCCCAAGTTTCAAATTTTTTTAAATGTGGGATGTTTTGTTGTCCTTTTTATTGGGAGGAGAGTGTGCATGTGAAGGGTCCTATTCAAAGCAGCCTTGGTTCCTACCTGCCCATTCTTTTTTTTACTTCTATGGTTGTGTGTCAAGTAGCCAGACCTCATGTGAATAGGATTTCTGCTTGAATGGCCCCTGGATCAAATTGAATGCAAACCTATTTGAAATCCTAGTTCTACATCTCAAATTGGAAATCAAGGCATGCTGCCACCTGGTGGAATATGTCAACTGACTTCTGAAGTCAAATGCTCCCTACAGCTTCCCTGGACCAGACCATGGAAGCAATGGCAGCAGTGCACGTGGCCCCAAACTCTTCAAGCACTACGGCGGGTTATGTATGAAAGTTTGCAAGCTGCTGGTCTATATGAGACTCACTTTGCTCTCCTCCAAGCATGTTACTACAAGATGCTCTAATACCTACTTGTTGGATTGAATGGAATAATGACACAGAGGAGAAAGCAAAACGGCTGTAAAGGGGTAAGGAGAGAATGTCCAAAAACAGTTTCATGTCCTCCACCTATTTTGCCCACAATTGTAAAGACAAGGGGGCCTTGTTCTCCTTCTTTTGGAAATAGGAAGAGCCTCTGGATTCTTGGTTTCTTTGAGAGAGGGTCTGAGAGCTTGTGCTACAATGTGAACAAAAGTAGGTGCGCTAAAGTCTTAAAAAAGAAAAACATTAAGAAGAAATTTTGTGTGGGTTAACGCCAATAAGACATACATGACTTGGCAAGATATTGGGCTGCAGGCTCGGCTTGTGTCCCAGCACAAGGAGACACCAAACAGAGCCCTGCTGAACAAGCTGTTCTGGAGAGATGTCCTGGGACCTGGCCCGGGCACAGCAAGTCCTTGTCATGAGCTCTCCCACGCCTACTCTCCCACAGCCCTTCTTGTCCATGACCGGGAAAGCTTCATTTGAGCACTAGCTTAGCTATCTACAGGCCTGTTCTCCAAGGCCCTGGCCTCCCGGCACTTTTCATTCAAGGATATTAGTGACTTTGCAAATAATTCAACTTCAGTCATGTGGCCACGCAAAAGGAGGGATGAGGTGGTCTCTGCACAGAGTGAGGAGGGCGGTGCAAGGAAAAGGCAAGATGCAAACACTAGGCTGGAACCAGGGCACTGCTGAGCCCCACTGCAGAGGGAAGGACTCCTGGGCCATGGTTCCTCCTCAGAGGCACGCTCACCAGGGAGGAGGGCCTCCACACAGTCACCCTCTGCTTGAGCTTCCCCCCAACCCAAAGCAGGCCCCCACAGCCCAGTGAAGGCCATGGAGATGGGCTGGCCCCACCTGCACAACAAGGAAGGGGAAGGCAGGAGGGAGGCTAATGAAGCACACCAGGGGGAGGGGGCAGGGGGTGGGGGAATGTGCCGAAATGAGTTCTGCTGGGCACTGCGAGGGTGACTGGAAGTTGGAAAGTCAAGTCCTCACCTTCTAAACTTTGAGCAATGTCACACTGCTATTGCCCCTCAGGGCTCTGGGACCCAGGCCTAGCTTAAGTCTGTCAAACTGGGAAGGTTCCTCCTCCAAAGGACTTACCTGAAGTACCTTGAAAGTCTGGTTCTGATTCGAAGGAGAAACAGTAGTTGTCTTAAATACACTGGATAGTTAACTCAGAATTTGCCACTTTATTCTATTTTACTGCCCTCCCCATCTCTTCCATTTTGCCTTACCCTGTGTTTGCTTGTCCGTGGAATACAGTGCACACAGCTATATGATTTTCCCAGACAATCAGACTGCGGTTGAGCCTCCCTGGTGGCACAGGGGTTAAAGTCTCAGCGCTATTAAGCTATCACTGGCCACTATGGCATGAGTTTGATCCCTGGCCAGGGGCGCAGCAGACCTCTCCTGTCTCGCCCGCTGCTCCCCTCAGCAGTGTATTTCAGTCAATCTGCCTGTTCTGTTCCCCACTCTGTCTCTGGTAATCCTCTCACCCCCAACACCTCTGGCCTACACCCCAGATGTTATATGCATAAAAAATAAAAACTAAATCTTAAACAAACAAACAAACAAAAACAATCTGACTGGGGGTATCTGGCCTGCAAGTGTGAGTGTGCTGCTGGGGACACTTGAGTGAAATATGTGATGCTGGAGCCGAGTCAGAATATCAGGGATACTTAGAATCACTGCACCGGACTAAAGGAAAGGGACAGGGTGAAGTTCAGGAGGGGAAATCCTCTGAGGGAGAAAGGGGAAAGAAATGGGAGGGAGAGAGCCTCCCCGGTGGTGCAGCGGTTGAGCGCTGGGCTGTGAAGCTGCCCGCAGCCTCTGCAGGTTCGATCCCTGGCCGAGGGTCCCACATGGCGCGCAGACCTCTCCTGCCGCCCTCGGCTCCCCTCAGCAGTGTACTTCGTCATTCTGCCTGCTCTGCTCTCCCCTCTGGCTCTGGTGAATTCTCTCAACCTCCTGTGCTTCTGACTGTACCCAGTGCTTGTATAAATAAATAAATCTTTAAAAAATTAAAAAAAAAGAAATGGGAGGGAGAGATTTTGAGCCAGTGAACCTAGAGGAGACTGCAAAATCCACCACCCAGGGGACAAGAACAAGCTGGACTCTAAGGGGCAGAATGGGATGGCGGGGTGACGTTCTGAACTGGCTGGAATTCAAGAAAGTTGAATTTCTGTTTCAGTTCTGCTAATAACTTGCTACATGACCCTGCATATGTCTCTCACCCATTCAGGGCATGGTTTCCTTATGAGTACAAGGGGGATAAGCCCAGTCCACCTTGCCCAGGGATGATGTAAAGCGACTAGAATCTGCATGAAATGTTTACCAAAAAGGTACAAACCTCATTCCCAAACCCACTTGCAAAGTACTTTATATCTCTGCTGTGCAATAGAACTATACTATGAGTTACTATGTTATTTTAAATTTTCTGGTAGCCCCATTTAAAAAGTCAAATCAATAGCAGATATTAATTTAACAACATTCTTTTAAATCAAATATATCATAAATATTGTCAACATTGAAGTAAAAGTCATTAATGAGATATTTTAGATTATATTTATTATACAAAGTTTTTGAAATCCGGTGTGTATTTTATACTTACAGCATGTCTCATCTCAGACTAACTATATATATATATTTTTTTTAAAGATTTATTTATTTATTTATACAAGCACTGGGTACAGTCAGAAGCACGGGAGGGCGAGGGAATTCACCAGAGCCAGAGTGGAGCGCAGAACAGGCAGAATGACGAAGTACACTGCTGAGGGGAGCAGCGGGCGGCAGGAGAGGTCTGCACGCCATGTGGGACCCTCACCTGGTGGCCGGGGATCGAATCGGTGCTGCAGAGGCTGCGGGCAGCTTCGCAACCCAGCATTCAACTACTGCGCCACTGGGGAGGCCCACTATATACATTTTTTTTAAAGATTTATTTTATTTATTCATGCATACAGGAGCTGGAGTGTAAGCCAGTGGAGGATGGTGAGAGGATTCACCAGAGACAGAGTGGGGAATAGAACAGGTCGATTGACTGAAATACACTACTGAGGGGAGCAGTGGGCGAGACAGAAGAAGTCTGCTGTGCCATGTGGGTGGTTCCCTGGCCGGGGATCGAATTCATGCTGCAGTGGCTGCCAATAGCTTCATAGTGCTGAGACTCAACCCTTTGTGCCATTAGGGAGGCCCTCAGACTAACTATATTTTAAGGTCTTGTTAACCACACACACATAGCTAATGGCATTCATATTGATAGCACAGCTTTATACTTTGTGAAGAAACTTCAGGAATAGTGTGAATTGGGTGTCAACTCAGTAGTAAACCATTGCCATATTACAGATATTCAGAGAGGTTCATTGACATGCAAAAACCCAGAGCTGGAGTGGGGTCTGAAGTCCAATTGTCCTTCTCCAACATCAGAGTTCTCTTCCTTTCTGATTCATTAGATAGTGAGGTGATTAAAATTAAGGGCATTGAGTAGATGATTTTCTATGTCCCTTTGTTTCTACAGAGTAATAGGAATTATCATGGAAGCAACCTGTGCTTCAGGCTCTACTGACTCAGTTTTCTTACAACCCAGAGAGACCCAAAGTGTTTCAAAGAACTGTAGGGAAGCACTAGAGTGATCCATCCCTACTTTGCTAGCAAGCAGAGGCAAGTCAAGTCAGCTTTGATTCATTCATTTCCTTTCTGAGTCCTACACAACCAATTCATGAAAATCTTGTCAGCTTTTCCTTCAAAATACATCTCATGATTTAAGGGACATAACCAAATGCAATGTTGGGTCCTTTTGGATTCTGATCCAAACAAGGCAGTTGTAAATCTGAATTCTGAATTAACTGATATTGAGTAATTATTGATAATTACTGATAATGATATTGTCACTATGTTTTTTAAAAAGTGTCTCTTAGAACTACTGAGGCGTTTATGATGAAATATGTTATTTGCTTCAGATTGGCCATAAGTAGTTAATTACTGAAACTGGGTGATGGGTATACAGGGGACTCATTATGCCATTCTGCCCACTTTTGCATGTGCTTAAAATGTTCCATAATAAAAAAAAATTGATTTTTTACATTTTGAATCTATTCATGTCTTTCCATTTCCATTGCTATTGCCTGGTCAAAGTTACCACCATCTCTCATCTGGACTGTTGCAGTAGATGCTTTATAGTTCAGTAGACCCCCATCTTCTCCCAATCCCACCGTCAGAGAGATCTTAAATACAAGGCAGAGCCTGCCACTGGCTCACCATCAAAGTAAATTCCAGGTTTGACCCATTAAGATCTCTGTGCTCTTGCTCCTGACTCTGCCTGATTCATGGCCTTGTTCAATCTGTTCCACCCCTCACCTTCTTGCTGTTCTTCAAAAGGGCTGAGATTGTGCCAACCTCAGAGTCTCAGCACTTGAAGTTCCTTTGGCCAGAAACATTCTTCCCAGTGTTCATGTGAAATGCTCTCTCATAATTTGTACTTCCCCAGAGAGGCTCTTCTTGACCATTCTGTCCAAAGCAGCCGACCCATGCCCCATCCACGCTCTATTACTTTACCCTTTTCTGTCTTCTATGCAACCTTTACCATTATATGTACTTCTTGATTCATTTGTTTGTTTATAGTCTGTCTCCTCCCTTACCCCTTCCCACCAACTAGAAAGCATTCTTCTCAAGAACAAAGACATTTACTTATTTAGTGTTGTATTCTCAGAGTCCAACAGAATGCCTGACACATAGGAGCCCTGAAAAGGTATTTGTTGAGCTAAAGAATCTAAGATACAAGGGCAGATAGGGAAGCAAAGATAGGATTGCTTAGATTAGCTACCATTTACTGAACAATTAGTAAATGTGAGATGTACTACGCCCTTTTCACACATATTATCTCATTTAATTCTCATAACCATCACATTATTATCTCTTTTTTGGAGGTCTGGAAAGAAGCTCAGAAAAGTTAAGAAAATTGTACAAGGTCACATAGCTAGAAGCTGGGGAAAGCAGAAGTCACATCCAGGTATGTTTTAACTCTAGAGCTTTAGATAATAACCTCTAATATCTATAGTCTCATGAAAAGCCATGCTAATGTGTCAATGAATTTGAGAGATAAGAACATTTTCTTAAATGCCTTCTAATAATGAAGATGTGGATTTCTGGACAATAACCATAGGAGGAGGTCTTCCAGTTAGGCTTCTACTACTATAGCTTTTGTCTAAACAGATCCTTGAATACATGTTGACCTAACAGGAAACTTACTGGGAGACCTGGAGGGCCACTTGTTCCTGGGAAACCCGGAGGTCCTGGTTCACCCTGGAAAATCAACGAAAGCTTAGTGAGTGGCAGCAGGAAGCAGCAAACATAAAGGCAATGGCTTCCTTGAGCTATTTGGCCTGGGCAGTGGGGAATGAATTGGGTATCAGGACTGGATGACCAGAGGGTGGTGCAGATTTCCCAGGTTACTCAACTTGTAACTGAAACACTATGTCTCAGTTTAGAGAGCCCATAGAGAGCCCTATGGGCATAGGAAGAACCTAGGCCCATAGCAGAGAAAGAAAGCTGTCTAAAACAACCTCAAGTTCTCAGGCTCATTAGAAGACAGAAAGGTTGATCACCTGTTTTCTTTCTAGTGGAAGGCCCTGTTCATTATAGTACCCTGAAGCAAATTACAGGCTTCAAAGAAATCAATGGTTTGGGGAAAAGAATAAAAGTTACAATATGGATAGGGACACATAACACTCTAATCTGTCTTTCCCTAATTGTTACTTTACCTATGTGTGCCATAGAAGGGCTCCCTAATGTTTGGGAATGAGCGTGGAAACAAGCAAGCTTTCACTTGCTCCCCTATTTTCGCCAAATCAATGTTTACTTCCTGGAGAGGGGCCTGAACCTGTTGTTTCCACAAAGACAAAATTTAAGAAATGAACTAAAAACTTTCCCCGGCCTACAGTTGATCACAGGCACAACATCATAAAACTTAAGGGAACCCCAAGAAGGAGGAGAATACAAGTGAATGAATGATATCTGCATACCTTAATAGCACACAGTCACTCAAATACAACCACATGTACACTCACTCCCAACAAAACACAGCTCACAAAATATCTTGGTTAAATATTTTAACCAATATTTTATTTACAGATGCCACTTGGTGACAGCAGATCCTATGGGAAGGATCAAGTTTTGTGGGCAAACAACATTTTAAAAAAGATAACTCAGAAGTTATCATTTATGCTGTGTTTGATCACAGTGCTTTGGGGATGGAAGTCTTGAGAGGATTGGGGCATTTTGAGGGGAAAACTCCAACTATTTAATATTTCTTTGAAGTTATTCAGCATCTTGATAATTGAATCTGCAAAACCGAAACGGAAAATAGCACTTAAACCCATATCCAACCAAAGAAGAGACTTTTTTAGAAAGCTTTTCACAAGGAACAAAACAAAGGCTTTTTTCCTCACTTTCAAAACAAAAATCTGCTATCCAGAACCCTCTATTTTTCCACTATAATCTGGTTTTTTAGAATTGAATGCTGGTATCATTATGAAAGGCTTATTAACTTGTCTTATTCTTAATGTTCACTACCTTGGATCCTTTCTTCCCTTTGGGAAACCCCATAAATTCTAGTTCTCCAGTAGATGGTGGAGGTCCTGCGGGGCCAGGGAGGCCAACATCCCCCTATAAAATGAAAGGGAATGTCAAGTAAAGCAAAAAACACACAGACCATTCATTCAGGAGGGTAGATTTGTCCTCTGCGTGTCGTTCACAAATAAACTGTGCATTACTTTGGCTTCTTCATCCTCATCCTTGCGTCATTGAGGGGGAAAAAATCTACTAGTGTCAAGGGGTGAGAAGAAATCTAAGCCTGACCAAATGCATTTTTGCATTACACAAATGTATTTTGTACCCACACTACACAGAGAAAAACGCAAGAGGGATGAAAGGAAGCCACAGGTTGGTGGTTGCCATGATCGTGCATAAAAGGGAGTTTAGAGGAGTCAAAAAGCGGTTTGAGCAAAGTGAGTGGCTGCCTCTTGACAATGGAAATCACACTCTAAGTGGACCAGTCCTTGTCAAAGGAACAAGCAGAGGCAAGTGAAGTCTGTTTTGGAACACTGGAGGCTGGATTTGCCCCTTCAGAAGGCAGTGCTACCCACAAGAGACCACTGTGTAGGGCAGAGAGGCAAGCCCAGTTTCCCTCGAGGCTCCAAAATCTCTAGACAATTGGTACAGTGGAAACTAGGAGAATGAGAGAATAAATGAAATTAAAGGATTAAAGGAAATAGAGGTTAATGAAGAGAGATGGAAGAGATACACACACACACATGCAGAAAGAGGAGGAAGAGGAATAACAAAGAAGAGAAGGAACAGGAGAAGAGAAAAAAGAGAAAGGGGAAGGATAGAAGGAAAAGGTGAAACAAAGAAAGGATAAAGATGACACAATATACAAAACAGCCAGGTGGAAGGAAGAGGGAATATATTTAAAGAGAACATGTTTGTAGGCATATTTACTTTACAGGTAAGAAGCAGGAAGACTACAATATTTTGAGGGAAAAGGCCACAATAGCCTATGTTTGGCACGTGCATGTGCAGTTCTTAACAGACCTACCGGAGGATTGATGTGGGGTGAGACATGCTCATTTCCAAGGTCAAGATCCAAATCTCCTTACACAATCAGGCACATGTGTATAGTCAGAGACAATTTTTTTGGACTATATGGAATGCAGATTGTATTTTACAAAATCTACTTACCTTGACTCCTTTCTCTCCTTGGAAACCTAACCCCATATTCCCCTGGGGTGCCGGAGTGTAGGAAAGAAAAACAAAATCAATTATTAAATTTGTTTCAGGAACTTAAATTGGAAAGCAATCCTTTTTTGTTTGTTTATCAGAAAGTGTGTTTAATGAAATCTGAATATTTCCAGGAAAACCACAATACTTTAATGGCAGGAGGTCAAATACCCCAGGGAAAAGGATACTTACATCAGGCCCAGGGAAACCAGTAGGCCCTGGAGGACCCTGCATTAAAAGGAAAGCAAAGAGTTAGCACTTACTAGATTTAGTCAAAAAGAACAAGAACCTGGACATGCTGAAAGTCACTGGGGATAAAGTCCCCCACCCGGCTTTGGTGGAGCAGATTCTAGTTCTTTCACCATGGTTCCTTTTCATCTGCTTTGAAATACCCCAAGTTGACCCAATCAGCACATTCATGCTAAGGTAGTGAAGACATCAGGTATCATTCTTCCCAATTTTCCAGGGATTTTTAAATGATGATCTTTGGTGAAGCTAAACCAAAGTAAACAGTGGTGGGACTTCATGCACTGGAGAAAGAACAATCTGGAAACAGAATCACATGGATGACTGGTTATGTTCTTCCTATACCAGTGATGGCAAGTGGATTTGATATCAGAAAAGTAGGTTAGTAGAGTTGTTCTACCCAGAGGTAGGTAGGTAGAGCAGTGTTAAGATGATTTTGAAGCTTTTTCTGTGCTCAGGGTGGTGGTGGTATGATTACTTGGCAACATGTCATGGTTGGGGTGTGGAAGGTGGTAATAGATGTGCCAGGTTAGCTGCCTGGTTATCTAAACTAGACAGAAGTCTTTGGAGTCACAGAAAGACTGTGGTCAGAATGATTGCTAAATAGACAACAATTACCTCCCCACAAAAGCCTACTTCACTTTAATCCTTCAAAAATGGAAGCTGTCTCTCTCTACTAAGAGGGTTTACACTTACATAGGCAAACATGTAATTCATGGTTTCTTGAGGAAATCCATGAAATTACTGTGATCACATGATAAATTTAAGTTGGGCTTACTTGCCATCCTGGTGGTCCTATAGGTCCCGCAGCTCCTGGCGATCCAGGCCTCCCTTGTGGGCCCTAGAGAGGCAAGTTTTTAGCAAGATCAAAAGAGAATGTTGGTAGCAACTTAATTTCTAACAGTCAAACATTGGAAATGTTTCAGGTGTTCACTGGTCAAAGATAGACTGTGATACCTCTGTACAGTGGAAAGAGACTCAACAACAAAAAGTGACAAACTATTGACAAAGGAAACTATGTGGATGGATGGCAGAAGCATTGTGCCACGTGAAAGAAGCCAGACTCAAAATACTACATATTGTATTATTATTTTTATATGAAGGTCTAGAACTGGAAAAACTATGATGAGAAAAATCAGAATGTTGGCTATCGTTGGAGTGGGATAAGGGCAGGGATTGACTGGGAAGGGGCAGGGAGCTGAGGTGATGAGAATGTTATACAAATTTAGTTAGCACAGCATATAAACCGAAGCTGTTTAGCTCTTGGGGAACTGTACGCCCTTGGTCCTCCCTCATCCCTCTTTATGCATCTGCTACTATATATCCTGTATACAGCCTACCATTTCTCATACTACTCAGTTTCAAAAGCCCATACTTCTCAGAGGCTAACATCCTATTCTAGAAATAAAATCTCTCAGGATATATCCTTAAGTAGACAATATCTTTTCCTGGAAGCTGTTGTGGAACTGTTAAGCCACATCCCTACTAGTTTTTCACAGTCTTGGGGTGGGGTGGGGTGGGTCTTGGTGATGCAGAGACCATGTCTGCACAGCTTTGGGGAACAGCCCTAGCACTCTGCTGAGAGTACTCACTCAATATACTGATGACGGGAAGGATTCCCCACCCCCCATACACGGAAGAAGAAAGAAGGAGCTTTCTTAAGTTACTTCAAAGGAAAGTGATGACGTGCGGAAACTCAAGGTAAAGGAAAGCTCTCATTCAGGTCAAGTCATTGTCTTTCAAGGACTCACTATTGTCAAGAGTGTCTAAAAGAAATTTCTGCACAGAATACCACTTAAAGAACACCTTATTACTTTTGTTTTACCCACAACACTCTGAAAACACAGAAAACCTTAAGGAAATGCTTGCTGAATGAAAGGCAAAATTGTTTTCTAAGACATCATATCCTTGGCCTGAAGGTCTGAAGGCTTATGTGCTGTGTATCTTGAGGTGGTCAGTCAGTGCTCTCACATAATTTCTTGCCTGGAAAATGTCAATGGTGTGACTCATTCTACCTCAACTGTCTGGGTTTTCCTTGAGAAGGTCTATAAAGACTTTTGAATATCATACAGAAGAATGAAAAGGCACCCTTGGTAACCACTGGCAAATCACAAAGCAACTTACAGTGATTCCATCCAGTCCTGGCAGTCCAGGATCTCCCTGAGAAATGAACAAATAATATTAATAAATTAAACCTGTGGTACTTCATAGATAACTGACCTAAACCATTCATGGGCATAAAAACGTAACACTGAAGCTTGGGGCTCCTCCGTCAAGCTCTTCTGTCTTAAATAATGCATGACTTGGAGATATTCATTCATTTACTTGTTTTTTCTTAACAAAAATATGAACTCCAGAAGACAAATATTATAGCCTTCGTTGGCCGAGATCTCATATTTTACTTGGATTAAATAATTTTCACCTTTGCTAGGAACTTGTCAATTAGAAACTGCTTCTGCAGGCTGATGATTTTCCTGCTCTTTTTGGAGGAAAGAAAAGCTACCTTCCCCTGTGCCTTCATCCCCAGAGAATCTGTGCCCATATGTATACAAAGCAAATCAGACATTTCAAGGGAGAATCAACAGAGCATATAGTCTCTGATTACATTTTAATTACTTTGCAGCATCTTAAGCCACTGTGTGAATCTGTAATATAACCATCTTGTGGAAATTGCTGTGTTCCACTGGGTCCAGGCTCTCTTTGACTTTTGGCAAAACCATTTAATCAATATTTGCCACTATGACAATGGCCATATTTGGACACCTGCTAGTTGTACCCCACTTGGCTTTTGGTCAAAAAACAGCTTCTTGAAGCAGGGATAGGGGTCTGCCTGGATATTAGCTCTTCAATAAACTGGCCGCGTGACTCTAAACAAGTCACGAACTTTCAGTATAACTCAGTTTTTCTATCTGTAAAAAAGTAATGTGAATCTGACAATCATAAGGTCCTTTCCAAGTCTGACATTCTATCTTCTGTTATGGCATCTGTAGCCAAGAGCCCAAGACCTAAACTGTTTCCAGTTCTCAGCCAGCAAACCTATCAATGCCTTCTAAAGTGATTTCTAATGTTTCCGGCTCATTAGTGGATGGAAGACAGGAAGTGTCCATCCTTGACTGAGTGAGCTGGGTGAATCTTTCCCTTAGTTGTTAGGCACAAAGACTCCCATTTGCAATCAATCAAGGCAGTCATGGGCTTCCTTCCCACTGTGCAAGGAAATAGGGTCAATTATTTTGCACCAGAGTTTATTGAGGGCCCACAGGTTACCAGGAACCATATAACAGGAATACAGTCAATACAGAAGGTTGTTGCCAATTCTAGGAGGAAATGGAAATTTCCAGTCAATTGCAGAATTGATGGGCAAATTTTAGAGATGGCCAGGGGCCCGGTTTGGGTGATAGGCTGGTGTGCAGGGAGAGAGAAAGGCAGGATCCTGGCAAATGGCCGTGCCAAGATGGTCTGAGACATGGATTCAAACCAAGAAACACAGACAGCAAGGATTCTAGTGTAGACAAAGGTATCTGCCTTCAGAACTGTCTCAGCTTGCCAAAAAAAAATGATACCCATGCAAATTGTTTGTTTGCTGATCTGTCTCTTATTTTTGGTCTAGATCCTACAAAACAAATCTCTTTGACAGTATAGTTGCAAACATTTCTGTCATTGTTTTCACAACAAAAAGCTCCAGATCCTTTTTAAATCCAGTTTGGACTGCTCCTTAAATAGAGTCACAGATGCTAGTTCTGGAAATGTTTTTATTGGAGGTGGGGCCCTATCCCAGGCAACTCAGCTTACAGCCTACTCAGCTGTCTGCCTTAGAGACACTTACCTTCATTCCTTTGAGACTATTTTGGACAAAGACAGGTTCACCTTTAGAGCCTTTTTGACCAGGAAACCCCTAAGTGAAATAATAAGAAAAGCTTGTGAAGAAACACACACAGTTTTGTTGTTAATAGTATGATCTTATCAGATAGAGGATAGGATAATAAAACCTTATGTGGCTTATTCTATGCCAGTAGTGGCTGTGCTAAGGGAAAAAGTACATGCCTTACACGGAGACTTTGTCTCAAAGCTGTAGCTCCTCCAACCCCCAACTCAGAAGTCTCGAGATATTAGAAAGTAGGAGACTTTGAATTTATTCAGACTATTCTAAATATCCACATATGATACACATGGCACTCACAAACCACTCACAAGGTAAACTCACCTGTTCCACTTCAAAAGTATAAGTTATGGATGGGCCTTTGTCTAGGATAGAGGTTAATGAACTAATTTAGACTCTATTATCATATCAGTGTTCTGTCCCATCTTCCTTTTTCCCCCCTCTATCTTTTAAAAATTTAAAAACAAACCACAGGTCAAGTTTTATGTGGACCACTTTGATGACCCCTGATCTAAAAATATCTACAGATCCATCTACATCCTATGCTACTGACATATCACTTCAGCTTCAGCGTGTGGCTAAGAAGCCAGTGTGTCTCCTTTTCAACACAGAAAACAGTTCAAAATACACCCAACCCACTTATCAACCAGGCTTTTTCACTCTCTTAGTGGCAAGTGATACCTAATCTCTGCTAGAACTCATCCTCCTGGGAAACATCAGGGAACGTCCTGATATCTAAGCAGAATCAGGATTAGTATTAGGGGTAAGACTAAGCTTTGGGACCTGAAGAATAGATAGAATGATAGATTGATTCCTTGAGCTTAAGGCATAATAAAAGAACAAAGTGGTCCCATAAGAACAAATTAGTTTCTTTCTTAACACTTCCTGTTTCCCCTTATATCTGTGGTCAATACTCTCATCAAAGAAGCTACAAAAAACATCAACTCAGAATCCAGCGGGGAAAATACAGAATCAGCTTGGTAAAATACATGCCCACGTTCCAATTTTGGCTGTTGGAATGTTCATTACTTCGAGATTCCTGTCTTCCTCTTGGGGGCAGCATTTCCTTACTCTGCTCCATTACCTTAGCAGGAGGGTGATTGCTCTCCACCCCTGTTGCCATGGCAGTATTGGCAGCCCTCTGTGACTCAATCTGCTGATTTTCAGCTGGTAATACATCTTTCTCCCTCCCTGCTGCATATTGCTTTGGCCCTTCGATGTCAAGGTCCTTTATGACAATCTGGGGGTGTGTGTGCTTATCTGTTAGTCTCACTCCCTTACACATATACCCACACCTACAGTTTGGTCACTGAGGACAATGGTGCTGCTCTTCTATTAAAATGCCAATTGATTCATGTAGCTATGGTCTTTGTCTAAAGATAGTATGATTTCTAGGCAAAGATATCACTTCAGTCTTCTCATTAGCTTAAATTATTTCAAGTGGGGTTGAGAATGGGCTTCAAATGTGTTATTTTTCTCTTTCCAGCCACTTGTAAAAGCAGTCTTGCAAAGGCATAATATCCATTATCTATTAGAGATCCTTTAGATGCAAATATTTGAACCCATTCTGGATGAAAGAAATTAAAGCGGTAATACCAGGATCCAATAAATGTCTTTTTTTTTTTTTAAGATTTATTTATTTATTTAGACAAGCACTGGGTTTGTCAGAAGCTCAGGAGGGTGAGAGAATTCACCAGAGCCAGAGGGGAAAGCAGAGCAGGCAGACTGACAAAGTACACTGCTGAGGGGAGCAGCGGGCGGCAGGAGAGGTCTGCGCGCCATGCCGGACCCTCGCCTGGTGGCTGGGGATTGAACCGGTTCTGCAGAGGCTGCGGGCAGCTTCGCAGCCCAGCGCTCAACCTCTGCGCCACCAGGGAGGCCCCCAATAAATGTCTTATCAATTCCAGAACCAAGGATTATGATGGGCATGGGGACGGAAAGGGGCAAACCATGTCACTAAGACAGTAGGGCTTTTCAGCAGTTCTCACTACTGACCCTTTCGGACAGATGATTCCTGGATGTTTTGGGGATGGGTTGGTGTCTGTCCTATGCCAGTAGCATACTCCCAGTTGTGAGGACCCACAATGTCAATGATAACCGCCAAATATCCCCTTTGGGGACACCACCCCTGAGTAAGAAACACTGGCATGGACCAAGCTTGCCAAGCCCCCTTGAGTCATTGTTAGTACTGTCATGATTCCATAAAAGCCCTTTAAGTACTGAACTTTCCAATGTCTTCTGTGTATTTGCTCGTTCATCTACCACTCACTAACTCTAAAGTCATCATTTAAAAAATTAACCCTAGGCCTTCCCTGGTGGCACAGGCGGTTGAGCGCCGCACTGTGAAGCTGTCCGCAGCTTCTGCAGCGCATGCTTGATCCTGGCCAGCTGGCAAGAATCCCACATGGCAAAGCAGACCTCTCCTGCCTGGCCCGCTGCTCCCCTCAGCAGTGTATTTCTTCAGTCTGCCTGTTCTGTTCTCCTCTCTGTCTCCAGTGAATCCTCCCACCCTCCCATGCATCTGGCCTGTATCCTGGTTCTTGTATAAAAATAAATAAACCTTAAAATAAATAAGCAAATAAATAAATAAATAAATAAATAAATAAATAAATAAAAAAAAAATTAACCCTAAGTAGTGTAGCATATGTACATCCAACTACAACTGGTAATTTTCTTTAGACTTTTAGTGCTGTGGCACTGCCAGCAGGGCTTCCTGCCTTGAACAAGGCGCTCTCGTGGCTGCCCCCAGATGCTTAATGGGATGACTAACGAAGCAGAAAATGGGTACACTCAGGAGCAATCAAAGCAGCATTTGAAATAATATACAAAGATCTGGCCTCGTACGGGTGGTCCAAGAAGTCCACGGTAACCATCAGAGCCCGGAAATCCAGTGGCTCCTTTTGTTCCATTACAGCCGTCCAGGCCAGGGGGCCCTCTGGGCCCTGGATATCCAGGGTGACCCTGTTCAAAGAGAAAAGAAGGGGTCATGTCAGCCATAGGACTCTCTGATACACTGACAAGCTCTACAGTGGGAGAAGCCAAATATGCTGTCAAACTCTTGCTCCTTGTTCACTCTCTTAGCTCCTATGTTCTCATATCTTTCCTTTATACTCAGTCTTATGTGGGTGGTGACAGATCAGTGTTACCTCTCCTCAAAGAATCAAGGCTTTAATAGGATCCAAGCTGAAACCAAAGGGATCAAGTATGAATAGATGAGGTGCTTAGGTTGCTGCAACTCGGTCTTCCCTGGCTACAGGGATGTGCTAAGCTGGGGCTCAGCTGTTTGGCAGTTGAAATTCCACAGCAGAGAATCATGCTGGGTCTTGGGATTCCCCAGACCAGACAGGGAGCTGGAAAGCCTGGCATGGCTGGTTGGATCAGAAGCTCTGCATGGGAAATGATGCTGGCCTTTGGTCAACAGGGCTAGGGCAGCTTCCATAGCACCACCTCTCCTAAAAGCTGCTCGGTCAAAAATAAGCAAGTTCTGAGAGAAGCACACCTTCAATCTGATTTTGTCATGATCCCCTGTCAGACTATTGCTTTAGTTAAGGAACTGTCTTTTCTCCTCTTCTCCATACTTACTACAGAGGCAACTTGTTTTGCTGGGGAATAAGTAATCATTCATAAACAGTTGTTCCGAATTCATTATTTTTTTTAGAATTGGGCTTCCTTGGTGCAGATAGTCTACATTTTTGTAGGAAATACATCTTTTTTTTAATTTATGAAAAGTGTGTTGTGAATGCCACTGGGTTCCCACGTTGAGCGGGCTGTTCTGTGTGTGCTGCTGCCACTGTTGCCTGACAATGCAGCTCTTTGTGACCTTGACCAGTAAGACCAACACCCTTGAATTAGAGTCCAGTGACACCATCAAGAATGTCAAGGCCAAGATCCAAGACAAGGAGGGCATCCCCCTGACCAGCAGAGGTTGATCTTTGCTGGGAAACAGCTGGAAGACAGGCACACCCTGTCTTAACACAACGTCCAGAAGGAGTCCACTCTCCATTTTGTCATGCACTTGAGAGGAGGTTTCTTAAATACTCTCCTTTTAAGCTTTCAACAAATTTCATTGCCTTTTTTTTTCCAATAAATTTATAGCAATTTCCCCACCCTCGCAAAAAAAAGTGTATGGTATGTTGGGTTGGGTATGGAGCAAAAAGATTTCTTGAAAGACAAAAAATCTAATCAGGTGATGCACTTTTTAAAAGACATATACAATTATATATATGTACATATATGTACAAATACATACATATTTGTGTATGTATTTAATGATTTACAAGAACATGACATGTGCTCAGAAATCAACGTTTCAAATTTCAGAGGAAACAATCTCTTGTCAAATTCACACTGAGAAGGTGCTCCACTGAATTGTTTCATTTTCATTATTATTATCATAGTCATTGGCGATAGACTGTTAATACAAAAATAAGAGTCTAAATTGCTGGAGTATGGAATACTGAGTCCAGAGGAGTGGTCAATAAAATTATCTTTACAATAAATGTGCTGCAATCTGTGCATCTCCAGAGTCGGTTGGTGATTTTTAGAAACAGAGAAAACTTACTAGAGTTATCAACTTTTTACTATCAATTGAGATGGCTATTCATGAGTGCCCTGAAAATCCACATTCTAGCTTCCCGGGATATGAGTCTAGGGAGGTTGACTTGTGTGGATTACACCACCTTGGCTCCCTTTCCTTTGTCTCACAGTTCTATATGGCCACTGAGAGACACAGGCATGAGATCAGAAGGCAGGAGGAGAAGGAGCACAGGTTAGTGATTCCCCAATGCTCACACTCCATGGCTCTATTTCTGCTAATGGCCAACATTTCTCTACCGTCGTGGCCCCAGTCAGGGAACTGCTATACCATGCCTCCTCATTTCACTGGGTTTCCCCTTTGGGCCTAGGTATGGTAACAGTTTTACATTAGTTGCTTCAACATCCATTGTTGCTTCCCTTAATCCTGCCCACATCCTTTAAATATACCATTAACTCCATTCAGTTAACCCCTTTGGGTACAGTATCTGTTTTTTCCTCCAATCCTGATCACCACTTTATAATGTCCCTCATCTTCATAATCCATTCATTTATTTTGGGGCATTCAGGTTGTTTCTATATCCTGGCTATTATAAAGAGCGCTGCAAAGAACCTGGAGGTATGGTAGTGGACTCTGGGTGATTTGGTGGCAGGTACCATACAGTGGTGATATCTGATGGAGAGAACCCTAATGTTACCACAATTGAAGAATACAAAAGATAAAGGCTGGCTCAGTCCCAGGGATTTTTCTTATTCCTGGGACTTTCTGTTTGACACCAAAACCCTTGCCAGGATTCTTACTTCTTGGCATTCCCATTTTTCACTTGGGCCTTGATCCTTATATAGTTTTCTTGCCTGAACTCTTGATAGACCTGCTATCTGCAGGATTTCCAGGGGCACCTGTTGACTCTTTCTTCCCTTAACTAAATCTCTAGGATTAACCTTTGACCTCCTGCTTAGGCCTGTCAGCCCTTTGCTGTCCAACTGACACTATGGGATGGTGGATAAAGCATATTTTGAGTCAGTCAGACTTTTGTTCCAATCCCCGCTTTCCCACTACCCTGTTTGAGCCTCAATTTCTTCATCTGTAAAATAGAGAGGAATAATACCACCTCATAAGGTTGTTGTTGACATTAAAGCAAATAATATCAACCCCCTTGGGTTATGGTTATAATTATGGTTATAATTAAATGAGACTAAGTTTACTATGCAGGAGCTTAATAAATGGTAGGTCTTCAGCCAAGCAGACAGGAAGGATCAACCACGGGGTGAGATCTGTTTCCTCTCAATTCTGAGTGCCACAGCATTTCTGGCTCTAGCTCATGAGTTTACAGCTGCGTGTGCCAGTTCTCCATGAGAATGTAGCTCTTTGAGAGAGGAAGCCACGGTTCTATCTAAGCACAAGATACTACTGACCACACAGAGTAGGAGGATCTGCTGTATTTCAGAAAACCAATGCTCCTCAGACCATAGATTTCAAAGGAAAAGTTTCTTTTCATGAGTGGTATGTTCATTTACAAGCCTCAAAGCAGGGAAATATTTGAGATTGACTCCATGGGAAAAGCTAACCATAAATTGCTGCAAAGGACAACTTGAACACGCCTGCTTACTTCAACTGAAAACATTTGATAAACATACATTTCTTCAGGGTGCCAACAGCCCCAGCTCACAGCTGGGACATCATTAAAAGCCTCAGCCCTATCACCTCCAGTCCACACTGTTGACTATCTTGGTGAATGCTAGTGTTGGTTCACTCTCACAAGTGATCACTGTGGCCCTTAGTGCACAGACCTGAGTGATCATGAAGTGACTACTTGCTCATTTTCCTGTTGAAACTGTCCATATGACAGCAAAAATGGAGTTTGGGGATGAAAACCTGCAGTATGTATGTTAGTGATCAGCTGGTATTAAGAGGGGAAATGAGGTCTGTGCAGTGATCCAGTTTAGTAAGTTGTGTTGGGGAAGCCATTGATTTCAGCCAAATCACTTATAAAGTGCTGCTGAAAGTTGAGCAAAATAATTAGTCAGATAGGGCCAAGGGTGTCTGTGTTTTCCTCTGACTGAGGGAGGCCTGCCAGTCTGAGAACTGTTGCTTTTATAGGAACTAGAGATCGGAGTCAGTACCCCAAATATAGTTAAAACTCCTACTATATGCTGAACTCACTCCTGGGGGATCTCAAGTTTCTGAGAGGAGCAGGAGACATACCTTGTGTTTTCAAGGAACAGGATAAGATGATCATACGAGACAGTCAAGAAATACCATGGAGTTACGGTATGTGGGGCAGACACTAAGAACTCCTGGCAGATTAGAGATGGAAGGAAGAGATAAGAGGTAAACAGAAGATGCTTAAGAAATACTTCCTGAATAACCAGAAGAATAGGAAGGAACAAAGAAGAATAATTTCCTGGAGTGAGGCTTGGAGACTACAACTAAAGCAATCAAAAGTCAAAGGAAAACATATACAAACTTTGATGGAGGAAAGTACCAGGGGAGGGGCCGTGAGGGTGGAGACTTCTACTGGGGCCAGTAAACTCATTTGGGAGAATCTGGATAGCTGCAATGCATTCTCCCAAGCAGTGACACCCTAAAGAGAAGTCATCAATTCCTACACGCCCTTGGGCTCTCTTGACTACAAGTTGGAAGCAAAAGAATCCAGTTGGACTCTGGGACAGATTCCATCTCAGAATTGAAATCAGCCTCTGCATCACAGGATTCACTTCCATCCAGTTCCCATTAAGAGACTACAGGAGGAAGGGCATAGTACCAGTGCAAGCTCTAAATCCCCCACTCATCTCTGCTGAAGCCACCTCCACAGCACAAATGGAAGAGGAGGCCTCCAGTTTGCTAGTTTCCTTCATCCACTGGTTCCCAGAAGATATACACTGTGGACAAAGTGGCCACAGGATCACAGCCATAACAGCACACCAGGGGACATCTTAAAAGGACAGCCAACCCCATCTAGTTATTTCCCTATGGGTCCAATTCTGGGCATTGTGCAGACTCTGCAGTTGAATAAATCTTAGACAGGCAATGGCTGATTTGTTGATAGATGGAACAAATACAAAGTTGTGAACCTTCTAGTCTCCAAATGCACAAATATACACTAGATCTGGGCAGAATGTGAGACCTTTGTTAATATCTTTGAGGGTAGAGTCGTATGCTTTCTCTGTAGCCCCATAACAGAGTGCTGGGAGATAATAGGAGCTCAAGAACTACCTCGAGATGGGCACAGATTCAACCCCCTTTCTCTGACACTAGATGATTATGTTGTGTAACGGAAGAAGCTAGTTAGCCCAGGATTTCCCAAACTGTGTCTTTTGTAGTTCGGAAGAACCCCTTAGAGGTAGTTGCAAGAAGACCTCCCTCAGACGAGGGAGCTCTGATTTTTTCGGTTCTGTAAGCTGACCTTCCACACAAGAAATGGTTCTTTTCTTCAGCAAAGTTGAAAAACCACTGCTACAAACAGACACAGCTCAGGCTAAAGATTTGATGTAGAGTGAAGTGGCGAAGAACACAATTAAGTGACAGCTAGCAACTTTCAAATAACTCTATTTTAGAGGCTGGCGAAACACTTCCATGGAATTTCCAGTGGTGGAATAAGTACTGATACCGGGCAAAAATGGAGAAACAAAAATGACTGGGTCAGATGCAATGGGAAAAGATGTGTGCAAGCTCTCAACTCCAGCAAAGCCTGGTTGTCTGGACAAATTCAAGAGGCTGTTTCCAAGTGGTCTTTGGAGCAGTCTCTCTGTGAAAACTAAAGGGAAATTCATTCTGAAATGAGATAAGGCTGAAGAGAACAAATTACTGGAACATGATGTATCCAGAGATCACTAAGCAGTTTTCTACCTAATTTAATGTACCTTCTTAATTTTCTTATAATGAATATGTATGTACTCTAATGTGGCTCTGTCTCTACACTTCAGAGTCAATCCCTCACCCCCAGTTAAAGCTCCCCTCAACCCACAAAGCCTACCTTATTTTGGCTATGATATTAATGGTTTCTTATACCTGCACATGTCTCTGCATTCTCCCAACTATATGATTTAATGTTGTTTGTACCTGAATCCAAGGGAAACCGTGTGACCAGTGCCCTTGACACCTTACCACACATATCTCAACACTTGAACCAAAGTATGCTTGCAGGAGACAGGATGTTGCTAAGCCAAAGTGCCTCAGCTCTGAGGCAAAACCTAGAGGTTATATTGAAAATGCCTCTGTGGTCTCATTCACTCACTGGAATCCCATCGATGCCAGGAAAGCCAGGAACTCCCATGGGACCCTAAAAAAGGAAGTGGAGAGAAGAATGTAAGAGACAATCCAATTTTGATCACCACTAGATGCAGTGGGTATGTTCATGTGATATACGACCAAGTGTTTTGTAGCTCCTGCTCCACGTTCTATCACCTTGGCCCTACTCTAGTTCCAGGTGATCACCTACTTCTGCCTAAAGTCTTGGACATGTCTGTGTTCTGAGACAAGTGATTGTCTTAGACAATGTGGCATAAGGCCTAAAAGTATGGCTCAGTATTACATGCTGCCTTGACATTTGGGGGAAACAAGGGAGGTGTCAGGTGGGCTAAGCACAAGTTCCCCTCTCTATCCCACTCCTGTAGATAAGGGGCCCTAGGCAAGTCACCCCTGCCCCCTTATCAAACAGTTCAAGTATAATGACTGTTTAGCCCTGACCAGTGGCTTTAGTTTCCCATCGCCCACCGAATTATTCACGAGTCAATCACACCTTCCTTCAGGAACCAGGAGGCACTGCACCCTCCTGACACTCCCACAGACCCTTCTGGTTTACTCTGTTCCAGTACACAATCCCTGTGTGGCCCTGCATGGCATTTGGTGCCCTCCTTCCCTGTGCAGTGAGTGTATGTGATGGATAAACTGTTGTTGAGCTCATCTGTCTAGGGTTGGGTGTCATCGCTTTGGCCACCCCCAGATTCCTAGGAAATCCGTCCCTCACCAACAAGGTGAACAGGAGGTCACTAAAATTGTCAGGGAACTGAGCTGCTAAACTAGCCAGCCAGCCACCATGACACGATCCATCTCCTGTCTTGTATCTCTTTCCCTATATTTGTGGCTCAGATTGCTTCCAAGCATTCTAACCTCTTGCTGCTCTGTCTCCTTGCTTGGATTCCTGACTTTCGTTGTTCAGGTGGCTGGACTTCTGCCCATGCCCCGTTCAAACTCACATGACTCCCCACCACAGGGACTCTAGTTATCCAGCAAGTAGCTAGCATATTTGCTTTGTGGCTTGCTTGCCATCAGTCTTACTGGAAATGGGCTCATCCAATAGTAGCACATCACCCAGACTATCTCATTAAAGTATGTAGCCTGGCATCAAAGTATTCAGGAATAATATTATTTCCGCTAATGAACACAACTGAGATTTGAGAATCTTTAACTTCATATTTATGACCCATGCGTCAAAGGAAAATCAAGCTATGGTGCACTTACCTTATCTCCTTTTGGTCCATATGGTCCAAGAGGGCCTGGGGAGCCGCTTTCTCCTTTCAACCCTGCTAAACCACTAGAACCAGCGAATCCTTGACGACCTGTAGGGCCTTGAGTTCCAATGGGTCCCGGTCGCCCCTAAGATGAACACAAGGCATAATATGAGTCAAAAGAGGACTTAGCATCAGCACTCCCCTTTTTCCCAGGCACAAAGAACACTGTCATCACTTCACTACATAATTTTGGCTTAGAGTCCTGTGAAGCATGCCAAAGTTCCAGACAGGGATCAGAAAAGGCTATTTTAGGGGTTGCTGAGCTTATTTGGATAGAACATATTTTATAAGCACATTTAATAAGATTCATGTGCACCAAGATCTTTCAACTTTGTACTTCTTAGGAGATTAGCTATTCATGCTGAATAATATTGTCCTCTTCCTAGTTAATGCCAGGCCATCCATTAGATTGTCAAAATACTGAAAGAACAGAATGCTGGAGAGCATCGTGACATTTTATAACTCACATCCAAATGGCCAACCACATGCTTGCTGTGAAGTCCAGAAATGGCTGTGCCACAGGGGTCCAGAAAGGGGAGAACCCAGAAATCGGTGGACTGACCAACTTGGCAGAGCCCATACTTTCAGGACAATCCCAGTACCCCATCACTGTACCTGGAGACCAGACACTGAGAACACACACACACCAGACACACACACACACAAGTGCTTGCTCTAATTGTTTATTTGCTCCCTCCCTAGCCCCCATCCTCTGCATAGTGTTGAAAATGCAAGATTCAAGGAGCCTGAGAATATTCATTAAGTATCAATTATGATAGCAAGAGGGAGCAGACTGAGGATTTTGAATGCCCTGGTTATAAAGTGTCTGTAACAATTAAGCCTGAGAGTTCAGGCTGACATTTTAAAGCTCACCGAGACAGAGAATTAACCCCAGTGGGTACAACACAGGCGGGCTAGTCTATCATTTAGAACAAATCCCAGTAGGAAATGAATTTACTTGGCAGAAAAATGAAAAGCATTAGTAACGTGCATTACCTCTCAGAGAAAACACCACCCTATCAGCTAGAAAGCCTATTTTCCTAAGCGCTTCCCATCTCTACCTCTTGGCCCCTTTCCTGGCTGTCCAAAATTTTCTAGAAATCAGTGCAAATTCTGGTAAAAGCCCATTAAACATGTCTTTGGATATTTACTTTCAAGGTGGACTTTAAAAAACAAGACAGATGGTTTCTGGGGTAGCTAGAGTCACATGCTAGGGGGGTATATCCAAGGGGTGGCCACCTGCAGTTTCCAGCATCCATCCAGCCCAGGAAAACCTATGGCTCTCACAAAGTAAAAGATGCTCTTCCCAAGAAGGTGTGATTCTCTGGGTTCAACACTCACCACTCAGGCTTTCCTGACACCTAAGATGCAGGCTACAAGGGCACAGACTGCTTCACGGGCCTCCTGGGAATGACAGGGTGGCCGGTGACCTTCACTTTTTATGGTCTTCTAATTGTATTTATGATGATTGTTAATTATTCCTCTTGTAAACATTTATAAAATGCACACACATATGTGCATGTATATGTGTGAGGGAAAAGGGATAATGCATAAAAAATAGTTCTGGGGTACTGTTGAGGATTATCAAGTTGAAAGTATGGGTCCAGCTTCAAAACGAATGTACACAAAACCAGAACAAAGCGTATAAACCCAGAGCAGAACATAAATTCTACCGGAACACAAAGGCGGGGTTGGCCATAGAGGGTTTGTGGAAGGCTCACATTCTGTCCATTGACTGGGAAGGGGGTGAGGGGTGGGGGGTTGGAGGGAGAAAGTCATGGGCTACACGGAGAGGCTGAATGGGCCCAAACTAAAATGGGCCTGGGATGCAAGACAGGACAGTTGAAGACTTGATGTGGGGGGAAATAGGGAAGTCTTAAAGGTTTGGGTACAGGGGTGCATGGGAGGTAGGCAATGTTTTAGGGCTGAAACTCACCAACAAGCATTCAGGAAAACATGTGTGAGTCAGCATGAGGCCAGAGCAGCCTGCCTGAGGCTGGAACAAGGGAGACAGATAAGAACCAGCTGTTGGACGAGGAGGGGACTGGTTGGTGGGAGGATAGGGGGCAGGACAGGCTTGCTGAGGCCATGCGGATAGGATCCAGTCAGCGCACAGAATGCTTGACCCGAATGGGAGCCCTGACTAAAGCTTTCTCGCAGCTAAGGAAAGGAGGTAGAGTGAGCAACAAAACGTTGAGTGTCTACTGGGAGAGCAGATTGTGGAGTGGCTAAATTCCCATCCTACTCCCATCACTAGAGCCCGCAGTACCTGGCATGGGTGCCTACAGGCTGGCACACTCCAGCTCTTGTCTTTCTGAGCATATCCTCAGCGAGGAGACTTAGGAGTGAGCTAATTCTAGGCCTGGACTTAACAGGAAATCTGATTCAGTCCAGCAAAGGCAGGGTTCCTTGGCCTGCTCCCTTTTCTCTTGGAAGGGTGGGCACGCTGAATCTGCCATAGTCCAGCAGTCCACTCCTGGGTTCCGGCCAGAGCACTTAAAGTGAGTCTCTTAAAGAATTCATAAATTCTTTTAATTTGAATTCCTTTACCAAAGGGGGCACTTGAAATAGCACCCCTAGAAGGAGTGAGTACTTCTGTACTGGTCTCAGCTAGAAACCTCTGAGACTGACCTCAGGGCCAGAAGCAGGGTCTGTGGGATGTTTCCAGGCCTCTGAGGCACTGCTGGCCCAGAATTACCTCCTCAGCATGGGGGCCAGACGCTGCCAGAACCTTCAGTCATAGGCTATGAGACAGGAGCCTTCCCACCCACTGAGGTCCTTTCAGAGAGTGGCACAGAGCACCGTGAACAAACAAAAAAAGCAAAGAAAAAAAATGAGACACATTTCTTTGGCAGGTTGTTTTGTCAAACATCTCTAGATTTGCTTACTCTGTGGTTATAGCTGTATGATCTTTTTTCCTGGTTTCCAATGCACAGGGTTTCTGTCGCAGTGCCCAGTGTATTGCTTAAGCTTAATACTAAATCACTGATGAACTGTTGTTTTTCTTTTTTTTCTTTTTTTCCTTTCTTTCTGGTTTTTCTCCAGATGTGAGTGGTGGCAATTCTCATAATGGTCAGCAGAGGTCACTGTGAGAACACAGCTGCTATAGACGAGCAGGTGTGTGGGTGGGCCTCACCCACTACAGAGAAAAAGAAATCAAACCAGTGTCAAAGAAGTCACAGAGTGTTTGAGCAGGAAGGGCCCTTAGAGACCATTCCATCTAGGTTCTACTTTATACATGAGGGGGAAAGAGAGAAGAGGAAGGACTTGTATAGGTCACAGAGCTGCTAAAGAACCAGGCTGCCTGCTGCTAGTATGTGACTGTTTTCTCGTTTGCCAGTGGCAGATGTCCTACGGGGGGTGCTGGAGGCTACACCCACCCCCGCACCCAGGCCCACCCCTGGGACTATCCCCATCAGTAGGCTGCAGCCGCCAGATGCTCACACATCATTTCTCTCTTCCTAACCCTGATCATTTCACAGAACCAATCTAAAACACCATCACTGTTTGGACTGCTAACAGAATTTCAATAGGCTTGGACCAATGCCCTGCCCTGATACATGTCATTTATTTTGGCAAATAGACCCCAGACGGGGCAGAAGGGGCTCCTCCACGTCTTTCCTACAAGCTCTCCTGCCTCCATCTGCTCGGGATTTAAACATGCGCAGAAGGGTCTAAGCCTCAAGAGAATGAGCTGGAACTTGTGCAAAGACCAGTAACTTCAGGTTCACCTGAGTAGCCCTGGCTGACTGCGTCCTGCTGACCACAATGGGGTGAGGTCAGTATGCACCTTAGATCAGACCACACCCACGACCTCAGCTCCAGATAACTGGGAAAACAGACCCGGAAATGGGTCTGCATATATGCGGTATATGCATGTAGAAATGGCATTTAAGAATCTTAAAAGCACACATCTCAAACTAGGTAGGGCTGTGAAATGGAGGGGGGCCTGATATTTTATTACAAAATCCCTCTCTGCCCTTTTTATTCCTCCCTCATGGTTCCAGTGTCCTTCTCCCATTTATTACAATTTATTCCTAGGGAAGAATTGGAAACTCATTCCCACTGAGGCATAAATGACTGACAACAACTTAGAGCTTTATTTCTCCCCAGGGGGATTTGTATTTTAATGGTGAGCAAAGCGTTAAGCTAGGGGATGCAAATGATATTTTAAAGCAGAGCAGGCAAAGGGGCGTACATTGGCTTCCCTACAGATGCAGCTATTTTGCAGGAGGTGGTGCGGCATTCTTAGTTGGTACCTTGTGCAGCCTCTGGAGTTTGAAAGACCTGGAGTTAAATCTCCTTACTACCACTAAATAGCTAAGTGACATAGGGTAAGTGACTTAATCACTCTGAGTCTTTAGGACTCCAAGCAATAATAGATCTGGAATAGGGTTATTGTGAGCATTTTAGTGAGTTAGTGAATGTAAACTCCTGTAGCATAGCTTGTACCCATTCTTATTTAGGTATCATACCTGGTAACATGAAAGCATTATGATTGGGAAAAGCTCCTTCTCTTCATTGGGAGATGCATAGACACCATTGAGAAACTCTCTTTGGAGCACAGATGTGTGATAGGGGTGGATGAGCACCCCACATCTGTGAGAGCATTTCCCGCCTTACTTAGTGCTGGTGTCCAGGATCACTTGCCTTCTTCAGTGTCTGCCCATTCTCCTAAAGAGACCTTATTTACATGCTAATGACTCCCCTGTCTGAACCTCCAGCCCAGATTTCTCTTGTCAGTGTGCCAAATCTTTATGGTCAATGACTTACCAGGCCTCTACACCTGGATATTTCAACTCCAACTCAACATGACTGTAGCAGACTCATTCCCCAAACCAACAACTTCCTCCCGATTTAGTGGAACCAACTCAGTAAAAGGCATTTGATCCACAAAGTTTATCAAGCCAGAAACCCAATGGTCTTCTACAACCTCTGTCTTAACCTTCTCTTCCACATTCAATCCAGTAGCAAGGACAGTCAATTTTACTTCCAAAATATAACTCAAACCTGTCCATTCATCTCTATCCCCATGGTTTTAGTTTAGGTCTTCTACATCTTTTTTTTTTTAAAGTGTTGCCACAG